TCGGAGGGGATGTTTTATTCACCGGACGAGTTGACGAATTATTCACACGGCAGTGAGATATTCCCTCGGAAAAAAAAAAACAGAAGAAAATACTCTTGTCGTTTGTAACACATAAGAACACCGTCGACTGTAAGCCGTATCATCGTGTTAATCCAATTATTGTTAAGCGTCACGAGTGAAAATTCGTACATATGTCGTCGTCTTTATTAAGTTCTAAATCGTGGCTGCGCGATAACGGAAATACGAGCAGGCCACACGCGAGATCGCGAGCTCTCCGCAATTCGCGCGCGAGATGACGACGACGACGACGACGGTCTCGACGACGGGTCGACAAAATGAAAATCTCCAGCGGGGAATATGTGTGTATCCCGCGGACACGGCCGGAAGGAGGGAAGGCGTAAATAACGATAACCGGTCGGGACGATTTCGGGATTTATCGCGAAACGAGTCGAACCGAACAAGGCGAAATAAACGTGGGGGACTGCGAAAGAGAGAGAGAGCGAAAGGGATGGGCGCGCAAGCTGGCCGCGCGTAACGAAATTACGAGTGCGCACCGCGTGTAAAAACCCGACCGTGGGATAGTTTCGACGAAACTGCCGCAGAACGGCCGCATCCGCAGTTTCGAGGATTCTGATCGGAATCTTCGGACGTGCGAGCGAAAAGTCGCGGACCGAAATAACGGACGCTTACACGTAAAGCTGTAAAACCGAAATACAGGGGTTGCACAAAGTGTTTTGAACACCTAGCGTTAAACTCTTCATTTGTTTTCGATAAGAGATTGGCTCGTCATTTGTCTTTAATAAAGATTTATTCTTTATACGGACACCTTCTGCAAAGAATACCTCTGTGAAGTTGGCCCCGCTTTTTTCGAATTTTAAAAAAGTGGGGCCAACTTCACAGAGGTGCAAAGAATTGGTTTTGCCAAAGTATTCGAAAATTCAAATCAAAATAATTTTATTGGAAATTCAAACTAGAATGTCAAAACGGTTAACAGAAATGCTCATCGTTTTCGAGCTTTTATCAAAATTATTTATTACGAATCAAAAATATATATTATTTTAATGTAATCCAATAAAATTATTTTCAAATCTGTATCCATCAAAACTTTTTGTTTACAGCAAAATCTCTTCGTGTGGTATAACATTGCACTGACTATCCACAAGCATTATATAAGTCCAACAAGGATAGAATTTGTTATCAAAGACAAATGACGAACCAATCTCTTGTCAATAAAACAATTAAGTAACGTATTTCCCAGATATTCATATTTTATCTATCCTTCCCGTATACCACGCGTATATCAGTGTTACCCATACCTCCCTCTGACTTGTACGAATCGCCTTTTTGCTTCTTGTGCAACGTAAATCGAGACGGTAAACGTCGCTTTTTTTTTCCAGAGCTCCGAGCGCACGAGACGTATCGATTCGGACGACAGAGCACCAGCTCCTCTCTCTCTCTCTCTCTCTCTCTCTCTCTCTCTCTCCCCTCCCTTTCCCTCTACTCGCAGTATTTCTTTTCGGGAGAAAATTTCCCGCTATGCTTACGCGCTCCATCGCGTGCAAACAAGCCTGGGAGCGTCGGCAGCCAGGTAAATCGCCTGGTGCATCTATTATTCCGTCAGCCACGTCGCAGTCAAGGGAATCGCGGAATTATAACGAGAACGTCCGCCGGCGAAATCTCGCCGCATCGTCGCGACGAATCATTCATGAGTCTAATATTTCAGCCGAACGACAAGTCGGACAATTGTTAGTTGATTACTCGCGTATCTCCGATCGGTGCTTGCCGAATCTCTCTATTATTCTCTCTATAATATTCTTTTTTACTTTTCCATTTTTCTTTCCGTTAATATATATATTTTTTAATTTTATAACGTATATTATTAACATATATCGTTCTCTGACGAAACTGTTATGACTTTGCGTTGCATTTCCCGAAAACCGATCCATTTCGAATTCCTGTATAATAGGTGAAAACTTCCACCCAGCAATTTCCTTCCGCGATGAGAGACGCCATCCCCAGAGAGAATTCCTCTAAAATTATATCGCGAGAAGTTTATTTGCGTGGTAAGATCGTCTACCGGAAGACAAAGGCGAGAGCGAGCAAAGGATATCGTAGATAGTCGAGCTTATACTGTCGACTGCGTCTGCGGACGCGCGGGACTTGGAGCAACGCGCGATCACACTCGCTCCTTTATTCCGCCACGCGTTATTCCAGCGGAGCAACGGCGAGCGCGAGCTGGAATTTTACATTTACGACTACGCTCGCTCTCGTCTTCACGGAAATCCGTTGCATTACAGAGCATGCTGTAACCAATATTCGCCGAGTGTATTTTAGATAGGAGAAAAACCGCGGAGAAGAAAAGGGAGAGAGAGAAAGAGAAAAAGAGGAGAAAAAGAGATACAAAGGATAAAGTGACACACACACAGGCGGAGGGAGAGAGAATGCCGATAAACGAGTCTGCAAGCGCAAAGACCCGGCTCGGCTGCGCGAAGGAGCACAGTCGTACGACCAAAACGACAAGCTCGGGGGGAGGAAACGGGAACGAGGAGAGAGAATCCGATCGCGGCGGTGGTGTGTGACTCACTTGCCATAAAACGCGCGCGGGAAGCAACGCGCGCCACCCCCTCGCCTTAGGGGGGGGGGGGACCGCAGCAACCCTCGGGGGGTATCGTCGAGGGTTTGCCGGATCGACGGAATTCGACCCTTCCGTCGCGCATGTTTCGCCCGACTTCTCCGCAACTTCTATCTATCCTCCGGCCCCGGGCTGTCAGCCCGATCCGCGTCGAGAAAACGCGCACACAATCGCCTCTCGCGGCGTGCGTGAAACACCCAGAGTTGCAACACCCCCGGAAAATTGGGTCACCGGTTCGACGCGACGATCGACTCGTGGAGATTCGACTCTGTCGTCTTACCCCGGGAGTCCCCGCTTTGCGAGAGGAACTCTCTATACGATCGCTCGTACACTGAGAGAAAAGTGTTTGATATTCGTTATTCGTGACTATATAATTGCGTAAAATAATTACGGTCAGAAGCTCTATTTTTATTACTGTGTGCTCTAATGTTAATAATAATAATATAATTCTAACAAATATATAGTTAGCATCGAAAATTTAACCATTTAACTATACATTATAATTAAATTATGGCAATTACAATCATTTTTTCTCTCGGTGCATATTTCAATCGGAAAAAAAACATTACATCTCATATTAGTGAGGGAATCTGTCGTTAGAAATAAGATCAGGAGTAAAATTTCGGTGTATTACGTACACTTGTACAATAGAATAGAGGACTGACGACGCGGGGCGCGGAAGTCTTTGCGTGCGACGTGCAGGGCCGAAAATGTGAATCACGTGCGACGAGGCGAGCGAGTGGGTATATAACGAGGTTACGAAAGCGCGCACGGTAATGAATGCCAACAAGTCGGGAAATATTGTCCCGTTCTTCTCTTTAACAGAGAGGAGCGATGGCTGCCGGGTTTGCTCTCTTAATTTGTTTGTAGAACGCGCACTCTCTCTCTCTCTCTCTCTCTCTCTCTCTCTCTCTCTCTCTCTCTCGTACACGCACGTTCTATTGCCACGGCGATTCCGACAAGTTTGTACTTCCGTCGAAGTTGGCACGGAAGATAAAAAGAAATACGCCGCGCCAGTCGTCTCTCGTTAAATCCCCGCGAGAGTTAGGGCGAGCTCGCTGTGGAGCGAGTGAGAGAATGCGGAGAGAGAAAGAGAGAGAGAGGGAGAGGGGGACGGGAAACGGCTCTAATTAATTGAAGAAATAATTAAAACGTACGTGCCAGCGGCAGGCGCGGTCTCGTCAACGAGCTCTTTCCATTCCGCGCGATACCAGCCACCGGTTAATTGTACAATCGTGCGAAGGTTCGCGCACCGAATTCGCCGAACGGAATTTATCCGAGCTCCATACGTGGCGCGATATGTGTGAGATAACGTTAACATAAACGGCGCGACGATATAACGGTTGCGCTCGGGTAGTCGATTCGTAAAAATCAGATTCGACGGAGATTATCTGCGTTTATTTCGATTTTTTTCGTCGCGCGAGGAAAATATCGATTACCAACGAGATTTCATTTCAGTGATCTCAGATCTTCCGGAACTGGTTGAAATTCGACATAAAGTCCCTCTTTCAGGACGGCATTTCCTCCCGTTGGATGCGAAATACAAATCCGGAGTAAACAAAAATACCTATGTAAATCGGTTGAGTATCATTACCGCGATCAATAGCAGTCGCGCAGAGCCATCCGGTAAATGGCGCTATTTTAAATGGGACAGATGCTTCAATGCTGAGAGGATTTTATTCCTTCTGATTCCTATATGGAAAGACTGACTTTGCTGAAGTGTCTACAAATTTAGCTATAGATACAGATTTGAAAATAATTACGTTGAAGACCATTAAAATAATTATGTAGAGAACGCAAGCGTGATGAGCGACGCAATAAGTTTTGATGTTCCAGTAACTAGCTTATTTATCCAATAACTGCCGATATTATTCCACTCGAACTGTCGCAGGTATCAAATTGATAATTTCCTATCCTTATTTCCGGTTGGTGAAAAGTTAATTTGGTATTGTGTTGGTATCATTTAAATGATTTGTACTATATTCACATATTCTCGCACATTATTCCGTAAGTAATGTAATATACCGTAATATAAAAAAGAAACAAAAGTTGAAATAATTAGCGGCGTCGAAATAGCACCTCGGCGACTCCAGTGTCAAATGTTCTACATAATTATGTTTTGACAGATCAACAAGATTTTCAAATCTATATCAAACATTGCAAATTAAATTTTTAGATATTTTCAAATCTAACAAGAGATATTTCGATTTTCAAATCTAACGTCAAACTAAAAGAACAAGATTTTCAAATCTATATCGAACATTGCAAATTAAATTTTTAGATATTTCTCTCAACAAAAAATCCATTCTTTCCTCTCTGACATCTATTTCCTTCTCTCGATTCCTACTGTCGGATGATTTTCGCTCACCTGTCGATGTAGCCGTCGCCGTCGCCGTCGCATGCCTGGAACAGCTTCCGGACGCGTTCCTCGTCGCAAATGGAGCCGGTCTCGCTTTCGGCATCCGCGGTCTGCGACATCTTCTCACTGGGGCCCGCGCGCGGCCGTCACGCAGCAACGTACGGTCATCGGTGTCCTCGCCGATCGCCACGCGTCGTCGCGCGCCACGCGACGCCTCATTTGTCCGACTTTGCCTCACACTGCGGCGGCGTTTCCTCGTGCTCGACCAAGGACCGGGATATGCTCGGGCTCTTCCCCGCGTCTATCCAGCGACGCGCGATAACGCGCGTCTCGCGGGCGGAGGATCTCTCGGCATTGTCGCGGCTCACCGTACGACTAGCAATCCCGCGTGATAACGCTGAAAAGGAAGAATGAGACGCGTTACGAGATACTTCGCGGCGCTTATTGTCCGAAAAAAAAAAACTTACAGACGATCCTACTTATTGTTAGATTTATTCTTGAGCGTACAAGTGAAGAAAAGCTACTTGACATAATATCAAAAATATGATTTAAGAAATCGTTCGAGATCAAAACACTCATATGTTTATCTCTTCAATGTAGATTAACTTTAATTTTGATTTATGTTCTCCTTATCTTTGTCTATAAATAAAGCTAGAAAAAAAGTAAATCCGAAATCTCAAAGTTATCTAAGTATACCGACAGTGAAATGGACGTTAAATTGCATTTTTTTCGTTGATCGGATCAACAGCTGTCGCGCGCGAGATTTATATTGAACACGCATCGGCATTTTCTATACTCACCTCGCCGTCGCAGCCCCGACTGATCCAATTTTCCCGATCGGACGGACTCGCACCGGTCGCGAAATCGCACATTCGATCGGGCGGGTTAGCGCGCGTCGACGGCGCGCGGAACGCGGGTCGGCGACAGATCCATCGGTCGCGCGAGAAGTTTTTCGGGATGGATTCACACGATGCTCCGAAACTGACGGCGCCAGGAAGGCGAGCGGGAGGAGAAGGACCGAGGGACTGCAGTGTCGCGGCACGCTGTCGCGTCACGCGCTCCGGCCTCGTGTCATCGCGCGCGTCCCGTCTCCAGGATTTCGGGAGAGCGATCCTCCCCTTCCTCCGCTCGTTCGCGGGCGAGGAATTCCTCTCGTCGACGCGCGACGGGCGCCGCAGCCGCCGTCGCTCCCGCCGCCGCTATCGCCGTTCTATTTTTAGACGCGCGCGGCGGATGCCACCCGCGGTCTCGCGGGTATCGCCGATATAAACAGATATCCGTCACGGAATCGCGGCGGCGCCTCGCCGTTTTTTCCCTCCTCCCCCTTTACTATAATCTCGTCTCGACTCGCGACGAGCGCGACGACCGGCCGAGGTTGACACGATTCTCCCGACTTCGACACGATCGTAGCGAGCGACGACGACCCGGCGCGTTCGTTCCCTCGCGCAGTGCGCACCCGAAAACTCACCCGTCCGTCCGTCCGCGGTGTCACCGAGTCACTAACCCTAACCTCAAAACCGGACCCGCGGCTCACCCTACCCGCGACCGCGACTGATAAAAACTATCGATTGAGCCCGCCGCGGTCAAAAACTCCGACCGGTCGATCGCGGCGACATCTTGCGTGTCGTGGAAGAATTATGAATCACTGCAACTTTAAATGTTGCTTGCTTGATACATCATGTCCATTTCTGTCAATGTAAAATTTATAGATTTATAATTTTAATCTAGAATAAAGTATCTTTTTCAATTTTCCTTAAAACTATAAAAAGATAAAAAATAAGTTAAATTAAGATTAAAGTTAATTTATGTTAGAAACGAGTGTCAATCACTCTATGATCAATGCATATATTATATATATTATATATATACATATATATATATGTTATTAAGAGTAGTCGTAATTTCAATACATGTCACTGCCATATTAAAAAACTTTTTTGAATACAAGAAAAATTTTGTATAGATGTATGTAAAATTTCATATATATGTATGCATGTATATGCCTGTATAACAAATAATTTCTTTTTTTTTGTTACAATTAGATTTATATACTTTTAAATTTAATTAATTCTCTACATATGGAGTACCACAAATTTTTTAAAACGCGCGACGATCTAAGCTTGTTTATTTTTTCTACAGCATATATGTATATACATATATATATAAATGAGTTTATATTATCGCGCGTTTTAAAAAATTTGTGGTACTCCGTATGTAGAGAAATAATGAAATTTGAAAGCATATAAGTCTAATTGTAACCAAAAAGAAAAAAGAGATTATTTGGTATACAGGCATATACATTGCATACATATATATGAAATTTTATGTACATCTATACGAATGTAAATATTAACTTAAAATTTAATTCAGCTTATTTTAGTATTACAAAAAAGTAATGAATTCATTACTTTTTCGTAATACTAAAATAAGTGAATTAGATTTGAAATTATTAATATTTACATTCATGATCATTATTAAATGAAATAATAAATATTAATACTCGAAACTCTCTAAACTAATCTGTGTGTGTGTGTGTGTGTGTGTGTGTGTGTGTGTGTGTGTGTGTGTGTGTGTGTGTGTGTGTGTGTGTGTGTGCGTGCGTGCGTGTGTGTGTGTTTATATATATATTTATTAAATTAATATTCAAATCGAGAATGACAAGTGTCGCTCTTACCTTACAAACGGTGATTGCCAAATATAACGATTAAACGCTTGTGGTCGGTATTGATCCTCTCCCATGTAGCTTCCATAATCCGAGAGGACTACGTCAACGGTAAAACTGACATACGCGCTTCGCATTCTGATTGACTGTCTCTCCGCCTCCAAACGCATCCTCTCCTGATGATTGGCTATGCCGCACCAAATCGATTGCTCCACGCAGCATCGCGAGTTTCCCGAAACTAACTTTGAGCGATGTCAAATACCGCTAACGCGTAATTCATCATTTCCACGTCTTTATCGAGTTCCATCGGTGACAATCGGAAGCGATGAAACGATTAGCAGTAAACGCGCGTAATCGCGTTACTCCAAAAACGATTAATATTCATGTCACCGTTGGATAACGCGTATCCTTCTATTTTCTGTATTTTTTTTTAATACAATATTGGTATCGTCGATTGAGAGCTCAGATTTAGCTTAATCTTTTTTTTGTATGCAGATAAAGATTAAATCGGCGGAGCAAGAGGGAGGCATAGGTTTCAAGGACACGCTGAAGCTCCTTGACGGCCGCGATATCAGTATCACGTATAATCACGAGCTTCGTCAGTCGCGCGAAGAGAACGCTCCAGATCACGCGGGACGAGAAGCTGGCGAATTTGCGCGACATCCTGAAGATCTTCAAGGACTGGATTACAAGGAGAATAACCGAGGGAAGGAGAACCTCGCGTATCTATCGATCAAGACGATCAAGGCCTTCCGCAGCCTCACAAAGAAGTGCGACGTGTAGGACGACAAGTTCTTCAGGTGAGAAAGAATTATCGACAAAGATTCGAGGGGCTTTTCAACTGATATCGATTTTCTCTGTTAGGACGTACAAGGGCGAGAAGGGCGAGTATAAGAGCTTTCGGGACGTGAAAGTTCCCAACGACACCACGTGGGACATATATATAATGTATATTGTTCATTTTCTACATTATACAACTTAAAAAAAACGAAGTTTCCCAAAAAATAAATTTGAATATTTTGAATCATTAAGACTTCGTAATATTAATTTTGAAATACAATTTTAATGTACTGATTGTAGAAGAATAAAAATATGTATTTTTAAAGTATGTTTTCCCTACGTTTTTTTTTGCAAGTAAATTAAAAATTACAGTTTTTGAGTTATCATGTGTAGCAAATGAGTGATGTGTTTAAACTTTGTACGTACATTAATTTAAAAAAATAGCAAATCGTTTGTAATTCTAGCAACACGGAAACACAAATTTTATTTATGGATGTAGTGCAGACTCGAATCTCATCCATTTTCGTTATAATTTTATCGAAAATATCAGAAAATGGATGTAACTACCCCTTTCAAAAATGGATGTAATAGCGCTAGTATACGGGGGTTCGATCCACCCTCATGCTTCTCTCTGACATCACTGAAAACGTCACTTGATGTACTTATCTACAGATGTACAAAGCGGTATCGTCTACTGATAAATAAATGTCTATCACCAACGAACATCTTCATCACGCTGATAAACATAAAAAATAAAAGCGTCTCTTGTGGAAGCACGAAACACGACAAAATCTCGTGGCGACAATGATTTTTTTGCGATTAGTGACAAAGTATGAGCTACCCTCTTTGAGCCAAGAATTTAATAATTACAAAATTATAATTTAAAAATTATATAAAGAAATAATTTGATTTTTATTTAACTTTCAAATGGTACAAGAGTGCGAATTCGCATCGCAAAAATTTTTGAATTGCTGGCATTTACACATCTGTCGCGGCTTATCCTCACTACGTTAAACATGTTCAAAACATTTGTTTTTTCCTCAGGAAAGATGTACAATTTAAGATGTCAAATTCGCACCATTGTTCCATTAGAGGATGCTCGAAAGAAGTGTATCATTTAAATTTACAAGTATATTTATTTTACATTTCTATTATGTTTATATTTAATTACATTAATTTAATCGAGATTTTAATTTTGTAAGTAAATCGACTAATAAAGATTATCATTTATCTATGTTTCTCTCAATATAGTCTTATAACTTCCCTAACGAATTAAGACGAAAAAAAATTATGGATACGATATTTATATTTTGTAATATACATTTTCAATTACTTGGCCGTGTATACAAAATTTATCGGGATACAGATGCAATAATTTTCGCTAAGATTCGCGCTAAATCTGCGAAGATTTTCTAAGATAGCGATGCGTACGCTTTAGAGAAAGAATTAACGTTTACTCAACGAGCTTATTACCAGTACGAGTCACTCGAATGCGCACGTTGGTCCAGGCTGGCTTAAAGTTTTATTAAAACGTAACGTGTGTCTCTTTCGCGCGGCGCGAATATCTCGATGGCGATCGAATCGAATTTGCTCGGAGCTCGAGAGCCGTGAGATACCCCGTGGTCCTCTCTCGCGGCGTGGAGGTTCGCGGCTGCCAGCATCATCCCTCGCGTTGATCGCGAGCTCGCGTGTCGCCAATGAGTTTCAAGGCTCCGCCCAGCACCCGGTTAGGCAGTGGTTGGCAAGGAGGTGAAATACGCGCAGGACTGAATCCTACGTCACGCTGGGGGCGTACACCGGGACTCGGAGACACAACCCCCGGCCGCGAGGATGGCTCACCCCCTCTGTTCGCGCCGAGATCAAATCACCCGATTCAGTGCTATCTTCGATCTTCGCGCTGTAACACACCGGCGGCGATCGACGAGACTCTCGCGAGTCGCGCGATTTCGATTGCGCGTTTTATTTTTCGAATTTATTTCGGATCGGTGAAATTCAGCGTTTCGTCTACAGTGAGGAATTTTTCGGCTCGACTGCGATAGGATCGGGGAAAGAAACGACGGCGGACCGCGAAGTTATGATGAATATTGCCGATCAGGAGGTGCCTGCCGCGACGACGGAATTGACGGGCTTGGTAAATAGTTAAAAATTTGTTATTTAAAGGATTGAATTTGTAAAGGTTTTATTAATAGTATAGATTATAATTAATGGGTTTATTATGATGTTTATTAATTGATAGGGAACAGTTTTTTATTTATTAATTGATAGGCAACTGTATTTTTATATTTAAAGATTATCATCTCAGAGAAAATCAGGTCACAATTTGTAATATTTAATTGATTTGTATTGGACTTATTAAGGTCTTGTTAAGATGCGCAATTAATTCATTATGATTTTATTATTTGATAAAAAACGTTTTTTTTTAAATTAACATCTTAGAAAATCAATTGAATTAATAACACTTGATTTAATCTTGTGTGCGACAAATGAAAATAAATAAACAGATAATTTATAGATAGCTTAAACACTAAAAATTTTTCTTTTTAATATGTCGAATCAAGTTGAAATATTGCATTAAAAAATAAGTTTGATCTTTGAATTATGTTTATAGTTTATATATTTTTTATTTTAATTCGGATCGGTAATAGCAAGATTATAAAACCGCATGAAAAAAAAAATATGTATATAATGATTTATTTGTAGGCAATAAAACATATTTTTCCTTGCAATTTGCCAGTAATAGCGATATTTCACTAATTATTATCTCATTAGATAAAACGGAATAGTCAGAAGCTAGAAGAAATTATTTCATATTTAGCTTTATAGAAATAAAGCGAACCCAAAAAGAGACTAGATAATTGATATATAATCTATTTTTCCGAATTATAAGTAAATCCGACTGGTTTTCTTCACCACATTGTTAACACTTTTTTTATCGGGTTAAACTTGTGAAACAGCTGTTAACGTTAACAGCGTCCAAAAAGATGCAGTATCAACGTTCTCTCGATCGCGAAGGTGTTTAAGAGCCATTAAGCATCGCCGCATTAAGAGCCGGTCCGTTTGATACGGATATCCGTGTCCGACTTCCTTCGGGGCCGACACAATGGAGTCCTCGGCGAAAGAGCGGCGCCGAGGTCCAGGGTCATCGCGCGATACAATGCGGCCACTCGAGAGATGATCGCTCGGTCGGGTGGCGAATTGCCGCGGCACGCGCCTCCACGCTCCGATGGCTCGTCCCACGGGTGCCACCCCTTTTGTGTCCTCTAAACACGTAATTGTCGCCGTTATTCCTCGCGTGCGTGCGTACGTGCGTGCGTTGCGTGCCACCACCGTGACGACACGATGCGCGCGGGACCCGCGGGTGGTCAATGGATAGGGAGACGCGGGAGAGGGGATGACTTGGCGGAGTACTTGATTTATGTTTGTTGACTCTAAAAATCGGCCGATTCCCACACACGCGGTGTCCCCGGCCGTCGGATCGTCGGCGGCGGGCGCCGTTTAATTGACTGCCGCGAGAGATAGCATATGTCACCACTCGAATTTCCCATGATTAGGGTGGCCTTCCTCGGGGATGGGGCGTGTGCTGGTTTGTTTAGCTGCTCACCTGATCGATCTCTCGATAAACTTGATATTAAACTAGCTAACTTTAGCACTTTCAAATAATCACCTTCTTGATTGGCTTCTCGTTGTATAACAAAATAAATGATATATTTTTTACACATGCATATTGATTCACCGAAGAAAAAGTCTAGTAATAGCTACAAAATATATTTAATTTAGTGTTAATGCAATATTTAGTAAACATTATTTAACATATAACGGTAACAATTGTTTCATAATAAGTACTAAATGTTATTAATATTAAAAAAATTAAAATTAGCGTTTTTAATTTTTGTTATATTAACTGAATATTTGATTGAAATTATTTCACCAAAGCTTTAGTAACTATAATCTAGTCTTCGTTATTACCACTAGACTTTTCAGGGTGATGTTACACGTATGCTATTTTTTTCACAAGTGTTATTTTTATATAATTCAATTAATTGACATTTGATCGGTGCAGTATCATTGCTCACGACACGAAAACGAGGCGAAAACAAAAATTTCGATCCCGCCAGCGCGATCTTTGCGCAGCGCCGGCGTTGTGGGAAGCAATTAGCTGATAAACTTCGTCACAGAGTGCGACGCGTTCTTTAATCTCGAAATCTCTTCCTCTACTGTCCCTCTCGCCGTGCATTGTCCGCCTTCCCAGTTGTTCACCGTCGTCATTATCTTCGCGGTCGGTCGCTAAGGGTAGGAAGACGGCGGGGAAACTTTCTTGGCGAAGTAACGCGAGTTCTCGCCTGTGATTGGGAAAATTGACCGCCCTTGCCATCGACACGTAATTAGCAGAAGAAAGCTCTGGCCGCCTTTTATCTGCCCGCGAAGGCACACACGAAATGTGGATTGTTAAAAATATCTTGAATTCACTTTGAACTTTTTGTAATTCCCATCAGATTTTAGGATAGAATTCTATCTCTAATTTTACGCGCCACACTTTTTGATATACGTGCATTTTAATATATTTATTGTATTTTTTATAATATATGTATGTATTGTATTTTGATTCTTCTTAAATGTTTTTAATAATATCTAATATCTTAGATTTCTTAGACTATGAATTTCTATCTTGGATTCCAAAACGAATTATAGGTTGTCTAATGTCTACTTCCAATGCAGATTAATTTTAAAATAGGTTAACTTATTTTTTATCTCTTTCTAAGAAATAAGAATTATATAATTTAATTTTTGATCTTTTTTTAGTTTTAAAAATTAGAAAAAGATAACGAGTGAATTAAAGAGATTAAAATTAATCTACATTGGTAGAAACATGCATAAGTTAGGTTTACGCATGTTTCATTAATTTTCCTCTTGAATTGCAGAATCTGGAATTTATCTTTAATCTCTCCCTCTTTATCAACCGTTTATCACTGTCTCAATACTTCATCTCTAAAATCTAAGCTTCCCAGTCCGTCGGGTGATCACGGAAGGGATACAGTTTGACGACGTGTCGTCCGCCCGATGACTTTATTATAAACCGAACCGAAGTGCACAATTACTACGAGGGTGGAGAACGTTGGATTTGGGGTGCCGTGCGTCGGGAACCCCTGTAACCCCGCCGCGAACGACGGGGCGTTCCCCCCGATTCGTCTCGTGGGTATCTCGTTTTCACGAGAGAGGCATAAACTGCGCGCATACATAAACTCGCGTGCCGAATGCTTCGCGCACGCATTCGTCTAAAACGACATCCGCTGGATGGGAAAGGCCTCGAGACATGAAATGGTACGCGTTCCCGTGTGTTTGCGCCTTCCACTTAGGCGTCATTGCCTGATCAATTCGCTGTTAAATCCTGTGCTCGACAAAAAAATGTCAATGTGTTGGAAGATCAGCCTGACGCAACTCGCCTGTTCTTTTCAGCTGAACATCTTGCGCGGTTCATTTTTCCTCTTTCTTTCCACAAAGATTTTTTAAGATTTTTTAAAGAATAAAGAGAAAATATGAACGGTGCTGAGAAATTCAGCTAAAAGAACAGATTTAATACTATCTCGATCGTGAAAACGATCTGTCAGCAAGATCGCCACTCAGAGAAAAAGTATAGTAGTGATAACTATGTAAATGACATAAATTATACAAGTTTTATACGTGAAATTAATGTGTGTGTGTGTACATGGTTGAATATATTACTTTATATTACAATTATAAAAGCTGAATAATTATAAAAACTAATAACTTGTAACCCACAGATAATTAATGAGTTAATTATAAAATAGTTTATTTAACTACGTACAATAATTCTACATAATAAAACTTGTATAGTTGTCACTCATATAATTGTAACCACTATAAAAATGCTTCCTTTTTCTGTTATTTATAAATAATTACGCAGCACAAATCATAACATTAATTATATAATCGAAATATCAGATATGCATATCATACAGTTATTCTCAAGATATTGGACTCGAGATTTTTTTTTAGTTAATTTTAATGCAAGTATTTTGATTTTTGTTAATTTAATGCGTACGTAATATTAACGCTTGTTTCGTGCGTGATTGAAATACTCTACGTGTCTCTCGCGAATCGTTTTTGCGTCAGTAAATATGTATACATAATGGATTGACATGGCGTATTAAACATTTAAGGCGGTATTAGTGAATGTAATTAAAATTTATGTTGAAGCGCACGGATTACAGGCGCCGTGCCATCGCGGCAACTAATTGCGGACGACGATTAATTGCGATCAAAGGAAAATCTCGAGGAGAAATTACGAACAAATAATGAAACTTTGAGCAGCGTGACTCCGCCGGATGCTCGTTAATATCAATATACTTTCCAACAGAAATGTCCAGCATAGGGAAATTGTATACGCTGCGTACTATATTTCACGGACAGTTCGACATTTTGATGGCTTTATCATTTTATGAAATTAATTTCCACGTGACGGAATTTTTTTTCAAAACAATGCAGTCCTTCGCGGGAAACAAATTTTTTTTTTATTTACGCGACGCGATAGCTTGCGACTCCCCATAGTCTTTATAGTCAAATTTCACGGAGTCAAAGGCAACGTCTGCGTTATCGAAATTCCCAAAACCGGTAACTGAGTTTACCACTAGATTGCCCCGCAAGGAGGAAACCGTCCAATCGTTCACCGGATGTCTTCCTCTTGCCTTCCTCTCTCTTACCCTTCACCCTCTATTTCTCACTGTGTGTCTTTCGCGCTCCTATATTGAAGAGCCTCGGAGCCTCGCAATCGCTCTGTGAAATCACTTGCATTCTCTTTCACATTCGTCCAATATTTATTTCATACACGGGAAAAAAAACGATGCTGTATTAACAGCATTAGCCGACAGCTTCTAATTGAAAATAATCTTGTTAATTCAATAAAAGAATGAATGAAACAAATACGCCATGCTCTTATTTTAATAAAATTTGTTTTATTAATCCTGATATTGAATAAACAAGATTATTTTCAATTAGGCTGCTGCTGGTTAATGACTGTTAAATCAATATCATTTTTCTCCATGTAATATCGGGACCAACTGGACGAACGAATATCGACTATCGATTGCCTGGCGATGCAATCATATTTCTCGGAGGAAACATTTTTCAATGTTATTAAATCTCTGTGTCTTACACTAATCCATGATTCTTTCTGTTGCGTTCCCTGCAGCCCGGAAACGGATTCGGCAGACTGCCCGAGCCGCTTCAGACGGTGGCCAGCGAATATTGCCCCGGCAACTACCCAGTGTCTCAAACGGCGAGCAATGAAAAGCTGCACACGGGTGAGTGGAATTTTCATTAATGAAGGATTTTGACTTGATAAGCACGATCCGACGTTTTTCAATTTAAATCCGTATAAGCGAAGAGGAATATCCACGCGAGCCTATAATAAATTTTCCATATATTTTGTTACCATTCTCGACGCTTTATTCCTCTGAAAGAAAGTGCATTTATGCAGAAATATCTGAGTCACTTTAACGTTTTAACTTGACGTTCTTAACGAACTTGCGAGGGTGTAATCAAGGGAAAAGGTGAGCGGAGAGGAAGAGAGGCCCCGGTCGATTCTTCGATTCCCCCGTCGCGTTCGACGTTTGAAGCTCTTTGATACCGTCGCGGCTCGGAGACGTCGCGTTTCCATCGCAGGCGAGGCTTTCGATACACGAAGACCCGCGTCGCGCCTGTGTCGACCGCGCGCGAGGAGAGGCGCACACATAGGAAAGGGCAACGTTTAGGAAACACGTGCGGGGACGTGTACCCCGAAACGGAGCGTCGGCAAGAAGAGAGAGAGAGAGAGAGAGAGACGAGGCCGGGAGGGTGAGAGCCATACCCCCCGAAGAGAGCCTGTCACTCGCAGGCGGTCGAGAGTCGATATCTTTATATAGTCGCATCAACGACGACATTATTTTCCAAAGGCCGCGGCGAGACGCGCGGTTGCATCGCCCGAGACAATCCTGGGGTACCCGCGCGGAGTACCTGCTCGTCAATTACTCGGCCCGAAATGTTTTCTGAATAGCCGGCATTTCGCCAGCAAAACGCGCTGTGTTTCCGACGCCGAAAATATGTGTACGAAAGCCTTTGGTAATCAACGCGAATATTTTCTTGGCATCAATTTGCACGGTCCGATCGTATCTTGATTCTTCGATTCCCCCAATCGAATGATGATGTCGACGACGGTGTCTTCTACTTTAAAAGCTATCGCGTTTATCTGATAAGTGCTGCTTCTTCTGATTGTGGATATTGAGATCGGAAAAAAATGATATTAATATTTAATAGCATTAGCCGGCATTTAATTGAAAAATAATCTTATTAATATCAATCTTATTTATCAATGACTATATTAACAAAGCAAACACGTCATGCTCTTGTTTTAACAAAATATTATTGGTTTCATTAATATCGATATCGAATGTACAAGATTATTTTTAGACTGCTATCGACTAATGCTATTAACACAACGTTATTTTTTTCCGTGTACAGATACAGAGATTTTAGAACGAGTCGCGAAACGTTCTCTCAACTCCGCGATACCACGGATTAATTCGCGCCCCGATTAATTCCTCTTTCGCGATCACATCTCTTCCCGAACGCGCGTCCCAGCCTTGACCCAGAAACGCGCGACGTCAATTCCGAGATTCAATAAGTGACGTGTTATCACCGCAAAGACTTCCCTGGGGTGTCCTCGCGCAGTGGAACCCCTGCCTCCCCCCCTTCTCCCGCCATTCTCCTTGGTGTCCCCATCGAGGAGAATCACCGAACAACCCCAGCCGGCGTCTGGCTGCAGTGATTGACACTTTATATCTAGCATTGGCATGCCACGGCGTGAAGCCACCCGCTCTCTCGGCTCGGGATGGACCCACCTCCACCTAACTCAATCACTGCCTATAATGCCGCAATTTCTCTATCATAATCGCGTTACGTCCCCTCCCCGCCGGGCTCGATCCACTTTTCGACACGATTCAGAAATATTGAAACGCCGCCGCGACGGATGAAAGTACCGCTGATCGTTCTTTGCTCTCTTTCCCTCTCTTTCTCTCTTTTTCCTTACTCCCTTCCCTCTCCTTCTCTCGTTCGTCTTTTCACATTCCGCGTATCTGAAAGCGGTATTGTAACGTCTTGACTTTTTCGTCCTCCACGACATATGTTTCCGAGTGTGAAGTTTGATTAAATCCGAAATTTAATTAGAGTATCGAATCTTTACACGGAAAGAATGATTTTACTGAAGTATCTAAAATTTTGACTAAATACAGATCTGAAAATAATTTTGTTAGACCATCAAAATATATATAGTTATGTGGGGAAACTCAAGCGATACTGCTAAAAGAGATCTGAAAATAATTTTCCGTTAGACCATCAAAATATATAGTTATGAGGGAAACTCAAGCGATACTGCTAAAAGTTTTGACATTCTAAACAAAGCTTGAGCGTTCTACATAAATTATTTTATTTATCTTCTACATAATTTCTCTTCTACATTATTTTGATGGTCCAATACAATTATTTTTTCAGATCTATATCTAGCTAATTATTTTTAGATACTTAAGCAAAATCGTTCTTTCTATGAAAAATGAGACAAAATCGTGAAAATATTTTTATGCAATATTTACATATATGAAAAGAACAGCTTTGTGCTGAAGTATACATATAAAAATTAGACCAGCTGCAGATCTGAAAATTACATTCGACCATCAAAATAATTATATTGGACGCAAGCTAATAACTAGAATATCAAAACTTTTTGCAGCAGTATCATCGTGCTTGAGCATCATTAAAATAATTTTGATTGTCCAGAGTGATTGTTTTTAAATTTGTGTGTGACCTAATTTTTATATGCCAACACGGGAAGGATGATTTTGCTGGAAAATCAAAATTGGATCTGAAAATAATTTTGTTGCACGGAAATCAAAATAATTTTGTTGGAGAGTCAAACATTTGCTAAAATATCAAAATATTTTATAGCAATGCTTATCATTTTTGAGTTTCCAACAAAATTATTTTCAGATCCAATTTTGACCTTCCAGCAAAATCGTTCTTTCCGTGTACTTCAGCAAAGTCGTTCTCTTCGTGCAGAGCTCGCGTAGTTGATGCGCGCACAATCCGTGCTCTACAATCGTAAATTTTTTTTTTCGCGAGAGCGACAGAGCGCGGATTTAATGCGACAACCAAAGACGCACTGCCGAACACTCGTAGCGTCTTTGCGGCAGGGAGTATCGTATAACAAGCCGAGAGCAATGAGCTGTGGCGTAAGTGAATTCGATTCGCATCGGACTGGATTCTCTGCCGTGGAACGAAACGAGGTTACCGCCGAGTGGCTACCCGTGGCGAATCCAGGAGACCCATTAAACGCACCCCCCAGTCCCCTCCGCGGTGGCATTCTTATGCGCCCGTTCACGCGGAAGGGTTTGTTTTTGCCCCGTGATTCATTCGCGGCCTTCTCCCTTTTGTCCTCTCGCGCGCGGATCTCTCACGATTCAGGACGTTCTTTCGCGCGTTTCATTCCGACGCAGTGAGTGAATACGCACTCCGATCGATGTTCCATATCAACACGAAAAGAACAATTTTGTTGAAAGATCTAAAAATTTTGCCAAAAACAGATCTGAAAATAATTTGTTGTAATGTTAAAACTGATAAGCATTGCTATAAAACATTTTGCAATCACTTTGACTTTCGCACGAAATCATTTTGAATATTGAACAAAAATTATTTTCAGATCTGGATTCAGTAAAATTATTCTTTTCGTGAAAGTAACTGGTCTTTTGTAATCGAACGAATCGAATAAACACGCGTGTATTAATAATTAATAAAAAAATAACGGAAGCGCTCCGCGTGTCCTGTCAATCTACGGCAAACACCGCGCTCGACATACATATTACATACATACAACTGCTAACATCTGCTACACACAAACAAATTGTATTTGCGTTTCCTCCCGCTATTTGCTTTCATTCGCGCAATCAATAGCGCGATTAATTAATGTGTTTTTTTTTCGAAAAATTAACTTTGATTACAGGGAGCGAGTTGTACATGCCGCAGGGATACAGGCAAGAACCCTGGCTGCAAGATGGTGAGTGCGTCAGTTTAAATTTTATCCATCGCACACGCATATGTTACAATGCTTCAATTAATTTTTATAATAATAATTTAATTTGTTTGTTGCACGTCACGCGAACTCCGGGCGAATATAGGCGTTTTACGCTAGCGCATCCGTCAGCCCGGATAGCTCAGTCGGTAGAGCATCAGACTTTTAATCTGAGGGTCCAGGGTTCGAGTCCCTGTTCGGGCGGTTATTTTTTTTCCGATCACCACGAAAGCGTTTGTAAAAATATGATATCGTCGCGCATTATTGAAACTCAATTTGTAGCATAGCAAAAGTGTGGAAAAACCTTTACTTTTCGGACAATACAAACCAAGCAGTTAGAATATGGATATGACAACGACATTAAATCAAACTTAAATATTTTTCTACATAGTTATTTAGTATTTTGTAGAATAATAATGATAAAGACTTAAAAGATTTACCAAAAATAGGAATGTTATTAAAGTCGCAACATCTCGTTATTGATTTTTAGAATGTAGAGATGTTAAGTTTTAATGAATACACACATTGCGAGGATGGAAAAACTCTTGAAAACTTCTATTTTTCAGATACAACTTAATCAATTAGAATAAATATAAGAATAACGTTAAATAAAACTGTTACGTATCTTCTTGTATTATTAATTATATAGATTATAGAATAATGATAAACGGATTTAATAAGATTTACTAAAAATCGGAGTATTATTAAAACCGCGAAGTCTCGGTATTGATTTTTAGAATTTAGAGAGATAACGCGAAATTAAAGCCCTAAGCCGCCAGCGAAGATAATTACGTGCAGCCACTATTCGCTCGGAACATTAATTTTAATTACCTTGCCCAACTGCGGTTTAATACGCGATGAGCGTAATATAACGGATGATCAAAGGGGGGGAAAGATTTTATATAATTTTACCGCGGGACGGAAGCTTGACATTTTCGTTAGACATTCGAGCAGAGAATTTTTTTTTATACATATACATACATATATATATATATATATATATATATATATATCCTACCGGTAGACGTTAATCTCGCTGTTCAATTGAACGCAAATTGTGCTAACCATTGATAATTGCCTTCTTCGCGCAGGTAGCAGCTCCGAAACCGAGGACAGCGAGCAATACGTGCCCGAGTTCCACCAGATGTCGAGTAAGCGCTGATTTTCATTGTTCGCTCTTGTTAATAAGCCATTTCACGAACCATTCGTCAGCTAGGTCGCCCGTCTGTTTAATCCTATCGACCGTAGCGGAAAGATAACGGCGCACATTAGCCGCGTCGCGTCGCGCACTCGCGTACCTCTACGCGCCGATACGGCGATGCCTGATAATTCGGCCGGGATAAATAAATCCCGGGGATTGGAATCCGCGGAACAGGATTGCAGGATGTCAATCTCCGCTGAAATCACCCGCTGAAATCGTGTATAGCGGCGCGGAAGTGTTTCGCGCGTCGCGTCGGAATGGTTCGGTCTCGAAATTGGCTGGAAAGTCTGTTATCGCGCGCGCTCAGGGTTAGGAGAGGTCTAGACCTCGAAGATGCACGATGGTCCCGAATCTCCTCGAGACCAACGTCCCGCGGCAAACTGTTCTGAAAAATAAAGCAATCCGAGTCGAATCGAGAGTTGAAATCCCTAAACGATAATTCCAGTTCGTGGAAGAGGGGAACAGAGAGATGCAGCACTTTTGTGCAGCGAGTATAATCAGGAACGATCGTACAATTAATTAATTAAATTCATGGAATGACCCGTTCGCTCGCTCGATTTAACGTATAACCGTCGCGTAATCGGCGACAGTCAATTAGCGACACGTTACACACACCGCACGTGCATGTTTAATTAGCCGTCGACACTTTCCGCGCGCGCGCGCACGCTCGCGTTTGCGGTTTTCCCGCTCGGCGTACGGCCTTTTTGCACCCGTCCGCGAGTCAGCCGACGAACCGCTTTTCCGAGTTTTTTCCTCCCCGCTATGGTGAATCGCGACTGTTAAAAATCGCGGCGGCGACCTCGCAAATCCGGCGCGCAGCGCGGCGGGGCGCAATATCGGCCCTTTATTAAAAACCGGCGAGAAGATGCCCGCGGGGCAGAATTCTTTTAAGCGTAGCGCGCGCACAGAGAAGCGGAAAGAATCAACACGGGGCGCCTCGGCGATCATCGATATCGGATTACGCGAGTAAGCACTTTATATTAAGCCAGCGGCGATTCGTTCCGTTTTCTTTTTGTTTCCTTTTTCTCTCTCTCTTACTCTTCCGCCCCGCTCCCGCGCGCTTATTAATATCGCTATCGATACGGCCGCGCCTTTTCTGCGAATCATTGTGATAAGCCGGCAAAAATCGGACGGCACTTTCCCGAACGTTCTCCTTTTCGTGAAGCGCGGGCGGGCCCGCAGTCTACATTATTCCGGGGCGCAAAATTCGCGACGCACGATACGTGTAATTCAGCGTCGAGCAGCGTTGAACAAACGTATCGTCGAACATTTCAACCGGGCGGGCAAACACCCAGAGGGAATCGGGGGCTAGCTAATGTCTATATGCGCACCGACGGTGCACACTCATGCAAGCGCGCCCGCGCTCACACACATACATAACACACACACGAGCACGCAATTCCCAGGCCGCGTATCTTCCGCGTAATATTATATGTAGCTCGCGACGCATTTGGGAAGAGATACATGCTCGTATGTACTTGCCATAGGTCCTTATGTAAAACATCACGAGACGGAGCGTCGACATCTTTAAACAATGGTGCTCCAAAATTTCTCAAGTTTAGACTCAATTAACGAATAATATTGAGAACTTAATAAGAAGTGTTCTCTTTGAAAAGAGAACAATTTTTAGTAAGTTCCAACATCCGAACAAAATATTCTATTTATATGTGGGAAATTCTTCTTAGCATTTCTTCTACGAAAACATCTTACAAAAGATCTTATATGTAGCATATTTCTCTATGTATAACACGTATTCATTTATTTAAAAAAATGGACACATGAAGTATGATTAAAACTGATTAAAAATTATATTTCTCTATTTTAGAGTATCTTCTTGTGAGATCGAATATCAGAGGAAAAATCTTCTAGAATCAAAAAGGTACTGCTAAAGAATATTTTTTTGGATGAAAAAAGTTCTCTTTGGAAAGAGACAACTTCTTTTATTAAATTCTCAATATTATTGATATAATAATATTAAAATATTATTGTTCGTTGAGTATAAAAATAATTTTCTCTTTGAAAAAGAATACACTTCTTTCACCTAGTTAAAGAACATGTAAAGATTACAATTGTTTAACTCTGAGAACGCACGAGCGTGTTTATCGATGATTTATCTCTCCGCGAGATGCACAGCAAAAGTGCCGCTAGGGAAAATAATTATTACGAGATCTTCGCGGCCGATACAATATGCCGAGATAATTCAATCTATCCTGGCGCGCACCGACGTGCTCTTCTTCCTATCAGTAAACTTCCAATGTTTACAAATACAATTATTGCCGGAGGCTTGTGACTTATGCTTCCCACGGCCCCGGGAGCCTGTTTGACTTACCGGGGGCGCAGCCCTCGCCCTCGCGAAAATCGTCGGCACCCCATTAGACCCCACCTACCCTCTCTCACGTGTCGTTGCAGCGATGCGTCTTCACTTCCGGTACGACACGCGCCGTTATGTCCTGACGCCCCGCCGCGCCGGGTTCTTTCGGTTGTATGAATCGTCCCGAAGAAAACGATCGTGCGCCACGCACTCGGTAAACAGTAATGATATGCGACGCGGGGAGAGAGGCCTGCGAGTCGTAAAAATCATTGAGTCAGTTTCTCGATTTTTATTAACGTTAACGACGGGCATTAATGTCGCGATAAAAGAAAGGCTCGTACGAAAGGATCCATGTATTGTGACTTTGTGACAGTTGTCTCATGCGATTGTTTCGCTTGCGCCAGGTGCGAGCGTGAAGCAAGAATCGAGCAATTGCACGAGAAACGACGACAGTGGCAATTATCATCCCCAGTATCAGTCCACCTCGGTGTCAGTCGCGCACGGTCAAAACAGTGATTTCCTTGAAATCAACTCGGACCGTTGCTTCGGGTAAGTTCCAGAGAAAGCCAATCGTTTGTTCTCTTTTTTTTTTTGGAATAATAAAATAAGATGCTAGTATCTGTATGTACATAATTCACTTGCCTTAAGAATAAGATTTATACGATGGTTTTGTATTAACAATTAGTGTGCTAGTTTTTTAGCGAACTAAAACCTCGCAGTTATAAAATTAAAAATTAATTCTCTACACAGCTAATAATTAAAGTTAATTCTATAAAATTTTTGTAAAGAAAATTACCAAAAACATTTAAAATTATATTTTTTTAACTCTTCCAGAAATTCAACACTGGAAGAACTAAATAGTTATTTTAAGTATTAAAAATACCGTTTGTTAGTGCTGTTAATACTTAAAATAAGTAATTATTCGGTCCTTCCAGTATTAAATTTCTGTAAGGGTAGCAGCTAGAAAGATAATTTATTGACTTACATTTTGTTTAGCTTTCTAGTTCGTTAGAAAATTAGTACGTTAGTTGCTAGCAAAAAAAGCATCGTGTAAATCATAAATCTAATTGTAAGAAAGAAACGTCGCGCGAACTGTCAAACGCAAATCTGTGAAATCGCGTAAATCTTGCGTGTTTGTCCGTAGAACTCGAAAGATAAACGGGCCGGCCAGTAAGAGCACGAAGGACGTCGCCGTGAAGGAAGAACCGACGGACCGAAGCTACGTGGAGCCACTTCCCATAACGAACATATCATCCGCAACGTCTCAGGAGAACGGTAAGAGAGAAAGAGATATTCGTGCGATGATGACACGTTTAGTATAGTCGGTATCGAGAAGAAATACGCGGCCCGCTGACTTTTATCTCCGTACGAAAATCCATCGCCGTGACAAATCCCAGTATAAAGGGATCCACGTGGCGTTATTCCACCCCATGGAGTCCATAAATAATCGAGGGGGAGGGGTACAACGAGGGTACCGCTGTCCATTAATCGAGTCGACTTCCGATTAGCTCTTTGAGAGGAAACCCCACAGCTCCGATACACAGCTACGATAATGATCGGTCCGCGCTGTCGTTAATTGTTCCTCGTGTCTAGCCTCTTTGCGATCGTTAAGATGCAGGCAATAACAAAAATTCAAGAGACCCAGTATAGCGAATTAACGGGGAGGATGCAGAATGTCTTCGTTGGAGGGGTTTAGATTTGTTTTGTGTTTATTATAAATTGCATTTTGCATGTGCCATTTTGCGAAAATGTTTACTAAAGTAAACAATTACCTCTGAGAGCCGACATTTCCTACGATCGCTGCGAGGCTCCGCGACTAATGCAATGGACTCACGCGTGACTGAGCATGCGTAAATTGAATAATTAAACGATGCTTTCAAGTCGAAAGCTATGGCGAGCGTCTTGCAGATTCCAGCAAAAGTTGCCGAAAGAAAGAAAAGAGCGCGCGCGCGAGACTAGAGATCCCCCGGGGAAAATGTAAGTCGAAAGCTTTCTCTCTCTCGTGACCCGTGCAGTGCAGACAAGATTTTCGATGCAGGATTAACAGTGTTTTCAGTGGTACTACCATACTACAGCTTGAGTTCTTCGAGAATCCTTTTCTTACTCGTTAAAACAAAAATTAAGAAATTTTCAGTAATAAAACGTTTATCACATTGATTACATTATAACTTACAAAGTTTTTCAACATCTGGATAATAGTTCTTATGTATTTTTAACTGCTGAAAAAAATATAAGATTAAAAAAGTTCGATCACAGACTTTGAGAAATCACTTTTTTTTAATTCTACAAAGGACAATTTTTAACTGTTTCTTCTTATTTTATAAAGAATAAGGTTTTAATTATTATTATATTTTCCATTTCTTCTATTATAATAATTTTTTAGCATTAAATCCTACCACAATAAAAATTTTATTGTTTTAAATTTTACATAAACGATAAAATGGACTTTTTAATATCACATTTATTTTTTGTATATTATAAAAAAATATTTAAATTTATTACAGTTACATATTATGTTTATTACGAATTTGCGTTGTTAAGAAATTAAAAACAAAGTTTCTAAAAATTGAGGAGTGATGGAATCACTGAAAAACATATCTTTTTCAGTGTAAATAGTCCTGCAAGCGCGCATTTGTTGAAAAATAAAAAAAATCATCAAAATAATATACCTTTTTTTATTGATTATTGTAACGATAATTAATAAAAGTAAATCCTACATGAATAAATTTACATTCGCATGTTATTTTAATCACTATTTTAATCGCGAGAATACGTGCAACACGGACCATCGAAATATTTCAGCGACAATAATTATGGTTTTTCTATCGAAACGCTCATTATCTAATAGGCTGTGAACTAGGAACGAAAATACGCATCACCGCCTACCGCCGCCACTCGTCCCGTCCATAAAAGGTAGAGTCGGGGTCGAGGGGCTGCAAGCTCATGCTTTGTAATCAGACCGATTAGTCTTCCTTTATTCACGCACACATACAATCACGGGGCCGAATCCTTTAGGAACTCGGTTACGGCTATATATATCCACCGGCTCGACACTGTATACGCGATACTACCCGCCTACTACCAAGTCACCTGGGATTATGCTCGTGCTTCTCTTCGCGTAATTCTCCCTACCATTAAGCCGTTTTAATTATTTACACGTAGTTTAGGTTAATAATAGGATACATTCCCTATCGCCCGTATCGATATCCCGCAATCTACTTACGATCACTCACTTTATTTTCCAAAGCGGAAAAACCGTTTCTCGCGTTTTACGCGCTAGAACACTTGAGTGTTTCGAGTGTATCCTTTATTCTTAAATAAAAATACATTTAAAAAAAAAGAAAAATTGTCATCGATCGATACATTTTATTGTGTTATTCGCGTAGAAATGCGTATCGCAAAAAAAATTCGTTAAATTTCCAAACGGCGCGGTGTATCGGGCAGAGAAATATTTAGAAAAGGTATGAGATAATCGAGATCATCTCGTTTAGAGGGGACAAACAATTCGGGGAGCGATAGCGTCGAGAGCGCGGAATAGTAATAACCGGTTAATGGATACCGATTGGTTTCAACAGTTCCACTAATTAATACGAGCAGAGGATTACGTGGATTACAGATCGCGATACGGTCCATGCTGCCCACACAGAGTCCACTCCCGCGTATTCTCCCTCTCTCTCTCTCTCTCTCTCTCTCTCTCTCTCTCTCTCTCTCTCATATTTCCGCGTGTACGCGGAAAATTCGTCAAGCGAGAGACCTTCCATTCGCGCTCATTCGGGTCTATCTTTGATTCACGTGTCGCGGTAAATATTTCGGCCGGCAAAGAAAAAAAGAAGCGTACGCTGAAACGGACGATGGAATACGGCAAAACGAGAGCATTTTCCCGCACGCTCTCGGGAAAGGACAAGGCGAGCTCGTCAGGTTTCGCTGCTCGTCAGGTGGGTGGAAAATAGAGCTTGCATTATTAACCGAGCACTATGCCGGAATTCGAGGATCAGCGAGGCAGAAGAGAGGAGAAAAAGCAAAAGAGAAAGAGAGAGAGAGAGAGAGAGAGAGAAAGATAGCGCGCGGGCGCACGGAAAAGGGAGGAAGAGCAGTGCGGCGGCAAAACGCGTTTCTCCTCGTCTGAGAGTGGACGAGAGTGGAAGCCATCCTCTTTTCCGTAGAGCCGAGCCCACCCCGCCGCCGCCACCGCCGCTGCCGCCGCACCAGCCGTCGTGTTCCGCCGCCCCTATGACCAGTCCTGAATTCAACCCTTCTCCGGCCTCTCCCTCGGTGGTGGTACATCGCCACCGGTTTCATCAGCTCGCGATTAATTTTAATCTAAAACCACCCGCAAAGCCTCTGGTCCGCGCTCTGGCTCGCAGGCTGAGGTCAACCCCTTTCGCCACCCCCTGGCGCTCTCTCTCTTCCTCTCTCTCTCTCTCTCTCTCTGCTTTTCGAGAATGCCAGATTGGCCCCAGAGCTTTCGGCTCCCTTCTGATTCCCCGTCCGAGATTCGTTCTACGTTCGCCAAAACGCGCGGGTTGAAGCGCGATTGACCTTCCGTCAAGCTCCTCTGCCAGCACATCTCATTACAAGTTCGAGCTCGCGGAAGCTTATCAATGATGAAAAAATCGTTGTTTCATGCCAATCCGTGACGAGACGCGACTTCTTGCAATCTTGATACCACGGTAACAAATTTTAATAGTCGTCGAACACATCTTTGCGTATTGTTCCTCTTTAAACGGTCTGAATTGAACGATATCTCACGCGACGTATTCCCATCCACGCGACAAGATTCGAAAAAATCATTTTCACCGATGCACCGTCCGGCGGAAAGAGTTTGCGTCGCTTCCTCGCCGTTTTCGGCGTCGCTTCCGATGGCCCTTCAGCTCTCGTCGTCGGATGCATCGCGACGTCGCTTGCAAACAACGTTTATCGGGGCGCTCTCCACGATCGCGCGCGCGACTCCTCAATTTTTCAATATTCCCCACGCGCGACTTGGAGCGTAACCGGATTACGACCCGAGAATGGCTCTTTCGGTACCGCGAAGTCGACGCGGGGATGAGAGGGCGGGGGATTGGCGGCGGCAGCCCCCGAGAGTAAGAGAGGGAAAGAGAGAGCGAGAGAGAAACGCGGCCCGATTAATATACATATCGCGCGAGCTCTCTCGGCTTTCGATATTTCAGGGGGCACCATCTCGCGCGCGCGGGTTCCAGCCCCCGGTGGGCTTTGAATATCCACCAATTTCCTGCCGATATTTGTGTGACGAGAGCGCTTCAACCGGCCTGGCGCGTGAGTGCAATCGGTAATACGGAACGCGCTTTTTGTCCTCTCGAGAATTTCTTCCTCGACTCTCTTTCTCTCCTCTACGTCCTCTTCCTCTTCCCTCGCGAAAAAAAAAACGCCCGCGGATAATCCGATGCTTTTCCCGCGTCTCTCTACGTTGTGACGCCTTCGTCTTACGTGCGCGATTGCAGAAGTATGGGGGCTTGAAATATCTTTGTACACGCTGAAGCATAAATTCGCACTTCGCGGACTTGATTGCGTATTGATTAGATTATTTTTAAAGTTTATTTAGATATTTATCGTTATACCGTAGGAATATTTGTCAAACGTCTAAATTAGTGATAAATACAACCATATAAATACATATAAAGCATTCTCACAAATTCGTTCGAGGTTTTATATTTAATAAAAAATAAATTTAAAAAGTTTTTTATTAAAAAAATAATAAAATATTATAATATTTATTTTCATAACACTTTTGACATTTTTTTAATCCTCCGGCTTTTATTGCCGTCCTTTTCAAGAAAACGCAATAAATTGGGGATGCTTTAAACTTATGGCTCCGAGAGGCTGTGTATCAAGCATCAAAAACTGACGTCCGCGATCTAATTTAAAATCAAATTATCGTGACAGAGATGATACTGATTCTAGAATCACGCTGCATCTTCTTACAGCGAGCAGCTTAATTTATCCGCAACGCCAACAGCAGCAACAGTATGGGAACGTGACAAGGGATCACAGAGGATCGTCGCCGCCGTCCAGTCGTCCGGCCAGCGCCTCTTCCTCGACCTCTCAATGGCAGTCGACCTTCTCTGTCTCCTCCGAGACGTTTCTGCCGCGACAGGAGAACTGGAATTCCGAGGCTTACGCGAAGAGAAGCGGCACGCCGACCTGGACGGAACTCGGCACGCAGCTGGATCCCAGGAGCTCGTCCTGGGATCGGCAGAACGGCTGTTACCAGAAGAAGGGCTCGCCCGTCTCGACCTGGAACCCGGACCACATCAACAAGAGGCCGTCGTCGGCGACCGGCGTGTCCGCATGGAGCGACGTCGCCGTCGGTTATCAGCAGCAACGACGTGGCTCCCTGCAATTGTGGCAGTTCCTCGTAGCTCTGCTCGACGACCCCGCGAATGCGCCTTGCATCGCGTGGACCGGACGTGGGATGGAGTTCAAGCTAATCGAACCGGAGGAGGTTCGTAGAAAACGCGCTCAAGAAGAGTTTTAATTATTTTCTTGAGTTTTATAATTTTTAAGTGACTGGAGGTGTGTCGGCAGGTGGCACGAAGATGGGGCGTCCAGAAAAACAGGCCGGCCATGAATTACGACAAGCTGAGCCGTTCGTTGAGATACTACTACGAGAAGGGCATAATGCAGAAGGTCGCCGGCGAGCGATACGTGTATAAGTTCGTCTGCGATCCGGAAGCGCTCTTCAATATGGCGTACGGTACCGGCGCGTCTTCGGGGATTAGCGGAGAAGTTTCAAGTAGTATGGTGCGGAGCCATGCGGTGCCCGGGAAAGGAGCGGGCGGGAACGAAGTTCCAGATTTGATGAAGCATCCCGCCGCGGGGTATAGCGACGCGGTTTTCGCTATGTACTCGAATACCGCCGCAGGTATTAGACTTGACATGAATTATTTCGTCGAATCCATAAAACGAATTTCAAATTGGACGAAAGTATTCACGAGGAATTAAATTAATTTTAATTCAATTTACTTCCCATACAGTGTACGGGCCTTCCAGTCTCCATCATTTGCATCAGTACCTCGGCGGTAACGACGGCTTCAAAACGCCGTCGAGCAGATATCACCCCCATTACCCCCATCAGTACGGCAGCAATCACCATCACCACCATCATCATCCGGCGCCGAGTTACACCGAGACCTTCCTGAACTACAGTCGATTGTCGTCGCACGAAGCCCCGTTCGATTCGAAGGCGCAGGAACCGCCACCGAGGGACTCGTATACCCAGGAAGCGGAGAGCACCAGCAGGGATCGGGAGCCCGCGTCGATACCCTACGACAGCGTGCAGAGATCGCAATTACCAGCCCCGGCCCTGCCGTCGCAATCCTCGATATTGGACGGCGCGGCGAGCTCGAAGCTCGAGCAGGCACCGTACACGTGTTTAGGCGTCGGAAGCTGCGTCTGTTAAATAAATGTGATCGAATCTGTTGTTTGCATATTATTCGAGGGGAGATCTCCCATCGGTCATCATGCTTAACGATCCTCGAATCGGGGCGAGTCGTCTGGAGCGTACGTGGTATTGTAAATAGCACTTATTTTCCCGCGCCGATTTATCAGACTCTCCTGGAGATAGATTAATAAAATTTGTTTGAGTGCGAACTCCTTTTCTAGCGTCTTTCACTGGGGAGGAACCGACATTGCACCGACATCGTCGCTTGGAGCTCGTGCCGAGTTTCTGCACCGAAATGCAAAAACTCGGCATCAAGTCTTCCAGTGAAACAGCGCGCACCGATTTCGTGCGCACTGAAAAGCCCAATGTTGCTCTCGAAAAGTGTGCACTCAGTGCGCACCAGTGAAAAACGCTATTCGATTCGCGTCAATGCGTTATCTCCGATCGTTACTGTGCGCGTGTTCTAGTAGTTTATCGCGGTTGTAATTTATTTTATAAATATTAAATAAATCTTATCAATAAGACGATTATTAAAAATACGATATGTGACTTGTGTTTTTTACTTACAGATCGACTAGTCATTAACGACTCATCGAGCATAAATGATAGAAAGTAATAAATAATATAAGTTCCATAAGAGTTAATGCAACTCTTTGACACAACACTATTATCCTAAATCTGTTCCATTGACAGCGGGAACCGAGAAATAAAGGCACGAAGGACATATACATATAGAAAGCGTGAATGTGTAGCCGTGGGAATTTACATCGCACCTTGCGAAACATGAGCTCGTAATCCCGAAAAAATCCACAAATATTAAGTCATACGATAGAATCATCCTCTCCTCGCGCCGTCCCCGACGATGCGCATGTGACGCAAGTGCGCGATCGCGCGTGTATTTCGGGCTCTGACACATGTGAATCGAACGTTTATATCGACCTCTCGCTTTCCATCGCACACACATCGCCGGCCGTCCTTCCTTAACGCGCGACGATGTTTTGCTGACAAGTATAACCGGTGACTTAAGCCGGCCTCGTAGTCAACATCAATCTTGCGATCCAAAAACTACTAAGAACACTTTACTTCAGTAGAAGTAGCATCCGAGATTCGTACGAGTGATCATCTCGGCTTATTTGTGCGTAACTTGTGATAGTACTTTACTTTGCTCAACGCAATTAGCAGCCTTGGAATCTTGTTGGTAAGTATCTCTTGTTGTACGATTTGAAGATTTAAACTTTCTTGTATTTTTCCGTTAGTATTTTATTGACAACAAAAATTACTTTGTTAATATGTCATGTATATATATATACAATATATGTACCTCTTAATTGAAGTAATGTCGCTAAAGCATATCAATATACAAAACAAAATTGTCCGGTAAAAAAAAACTCACGCCTCATGGAATTTTAATATTAAAATCGAGTATGACGAGTATATCGTCTTTACGAACGGCGATTGCTAAATGTAACAATTAAATACTCGCGGTCGGTATTGATCCTCTCCCGTGTAGCTTCCATAATCTGAGAGGACTACGTCAACGATAAAACTGACATACGCGCTTCGCATTCTGATTGACTGTCTCTCCGCCTCCAGGCGCATCCTCTCCCGATGATTAGCTGTGCCCCGCACCGAATCGATTGCTCCACGCAGCATCGCGAGTTTCCCGAAACTAACTTTGAGCGATATCAAATACCGCGTAATTCATCATTTCCACGTCTTTATTGAGTTCCAGCAGTGACAATCGGAAGCGCTGAAGCGATTAGCAGTAAACGCGCGTAATCGCGTTACTCCAAAATCGATTAATATTCATGTCACCGCTGAATAATAACGCGTACCTTTCTATTTTCTGTATTTTTTTTTTTTAATACGATATTGGTATCATCGATTGAGAACTCAGATTTAACTTGACCATTTTTTTTTGCGTGCAGATCAAAATGATGAAGAAATCGGCGGAGCAGGAGGGAGGCATGGGTTTCAAGGACAAACAGAAAGCGTTGGATACGCTGAAGCTCTTGGACGGCCGCGATATCAGTTATCAGTACCACGTAATCACGAGCTTCGTCAGTCGCGCGAAGAGAACGCTCCAGATCACGCGGGACGAGGAGAAGCTGGCGAATCTGCGCGACGCCCTAAAGATCTTCGAGGACTGGCTGACGAATTACAAGGAGAATAATCGAGGGAAGGAGAACCTCGCGTATCTGTCGATCGAGACGATCAAGGCGTTTCGCAGCCTTGCGAAGAAGTACGACGTGTGGGACGATGGGTTCTTCAGGTGAGAGAGAAACTGTCGGCAAAGGCGCTTTTCGACTGATATCGATTTTTTCTGTTAGGGCGTACAAGGGCGAGAAGGGCGAGTACAAGAGCCTTCGGGACGTGAAAGTTCCCAACGGCGACACCACGTGGGACATCGAGAGGAACAGGCGACTGAAGGAGATCATCGGCAGGATCAAGGACGAGCACGTCCAGTGGTACGAGACGGACGCGGGCGATTTTCGGGGACTGCCGACAAAGGAACACGCGCGATGCATCGTGCTCGGGTACAGTCCCGATTCCACAAAGCTGAAAAAGCTGGCGGTTCAAGCGCGCGAAAAATTCGACGATGACGATGACGACATGGACGTTGAGCAAGAACGAAAAGGCGCTAAAAGAACTCACGATAACAGCTCGTTGAGCAGCGATAGCGATAGCGAGCCAGAGAAAAAGTGCCCGAGACGTTCGTCGGAAACTGAAGGAAAGAACGAGCGAAACGAAAAGACGGAGAGCGCGCTGGGTTTTAAGGACAAGGAGAAAGCCTTGCGAAGCATCAAGTCCTTGGAGGGCAGAGACGTAGCCTATCAGTTTCATGCGATCAGCGGGCTGGTGAAGCGTGCCGAGAGGGTGATATCGTGCACGAAGGATGAGCAGAAGATCCGGAACATGCGGGAGGCTGTCGAGGTCTTCGAGAAATGGATCACCGAGTATAACGTGAACGGCCGATCGAAGGAGAACTTCAATTATCTGACGATCGACATCGTGCGGGCCTTTAAACGTCTGGCCGAGCGATACGGCATCGAAGACAGCGGCTTCCTCAAGTGAGTTTTTTTTTAATAAAAAAAAGATCGAATTTTATTAATGAGATATTGTCGTGTATTTTGATTTTACAGAGTCTACGAGGAGGTGGACGGTGACTACAAGAAACTCAGATCTGTCCGATTTCCGGAGACGGACGTTACGTGGGACGTGAAGAGGAACGAACACCTGCGCGAGCTGGTGAATCACATAAAGGAGAAGCACGTTCAGTGGTTCGACACGGACGCCAAATTCCGAGGTCTGCCCACAGCGGAGCACACCCGTTGTATCATGTGGGGCTTCAGCCACGACGTCGTCAAGCTGAAGAAGCTCCTGCCCGCGTTAAGCGAGAAACTCGAACCCGCTGACTAATGTTGCGATTTAATAAATCTGCTGGATCGGCTTGAAAATCGACAACGCTTTTGCGATTATATGCGCGCGTGTAAAAAAAGTAAGGGAAAAAAACATTGTTGCACATTATTATTTTTTAGAGCATATCGTACATTTAAGCGTTTTACTATAATGGTAAATATATTTTATATATGTATAGTCGTAGAAGAGATAAACGAACTTAGATCATTGTTTTAAAAAATTTGTGGTACTCCACAGATAGAGAATTAATTAAATTTAAAAGCATATAAGTCTAATTGTAACCAAAAAGAAAAGAGATTATTTGTTATACAGGCATATATACATTGCATACATGTGTATGAAATTTTATATACATCTATATGAAATTTTTCTTGTATTCACGTGACGTTTTCAGTGACGTCAGAGAGAAGCGTGAAAGCGAATCGAATCCCCGCATACTAGCGCAGTCATCAGTAATCTTTATTAACAATTTATTAAAGGAATAATTGATTGAAAGTATTTTTGCGCGTTACCGCGTTATCGTGTTAACTAAAAAAAATAGCAATTAGTTTGTAATTCGTTTGTGTACGTGTGTAAAGAGCTAACGCTTAAAATAATAGAAAAAATAGTAAGAATTAAACAACTTGGGTGGCGAGAGTGTGACGCCACTTCTTTCAGGAGGCGGTAAATTAAAATTTCGTTCCATAAAATATGCAAAGAGTTCCCTTACATAGTTAAAATTATAGCCTAAATTCTAACATAAAATGAATCATTTAAAGTATTTAAACTTACAATTTAATTATAAATTGCGAGGCGATTGGCATTGGCCTTGGCGTAACAGGCACTAATTATTATATTATTCTTTACACAGTAACATTCAATATCGCGTAGCGGCGCCATTCTTTCTGTGTCATAATCTTATCCTTCGGAACATGATTGTTAATTAAAACTCTCTCACCAATAAATGTAGCACGGACACGCACCACATTTTATCGACAATGTCTGATGTAGCCCAGACTCGAACATCCATTTTCGATGTTCTATCTGAGATGTCACTACCAACAAAAAAAAAATACATGAGCGCATGCGCGACAACCTTGCCGAACAGATGACCCATAATTTTCCATGGTTTTTACTCGGATAATTTCACAATCACGAAATTGTGAATGATAATGAAATTGCGGTAAGGAACACTGCAAATTGAACACTGCAAAACGCGATAAAAGGACGGAACATGTCAATTATGTTGTAAACGTTAAAAGGTTCCCTCCGAGAAAACAGAGGCGAACGTCAAGGAGATTGGAGTAATCCGGAGTAAATCATCGTGAATACGTGCATTACATCATTGTAAGTAACGACAGACTTTTCGTGAATGACTTGCACCTTTTTGCGCGATTGCTTGGCCACAACAATGCCGATATCTTTATAATAACATATGTTGATGTCGGTAGTAATCACGTTAAATGACTTGTCTCTATAATCTCTATGTAATTACTCGACGTTGCTCCAATTTGTTAGTCATGAATATTTTTACGAGCACTGACGAGAATTCAAACATTGTTGCACATTTGCTAATTAACAATAACTGTAATAAGAAAGTGCAGGTATGCTTGTGTGAACTTGTGTTTCGGAGCAACGGGAAGAATTTCGGAGCAACGGGAAGAATTTCGGAGCAACGAGTTGCTCCGATGTTGTGACATTACATCTCGTTCACAATTACTATGTCTTGAACGTTATTGAATTTTTTTTCGTTAATTTCATCGTTTTACGTGTGTACAAATTCGTTAAATCCGATAAATTCTCCCCGAAAAGGATTATTTTATAATTTTTGTTGTCGAATCGATCGACTCCGAAATAATGCTTTGTCTTGCAATTAATTATAACAGAATTTGTTAAAAACATTTCTCGAAATAGTGCCAAAAAGACGTCTTTCATCCATAGCATTAAAATTAAAATTTAATTGTACAAAGTATATGTATTATACAATTTATACGAACATATAATTTGAACAGCTTTCTTTTCTTTGAGGTTAAGCTAACCTAATCTAACTTTCTGATTGTACTCCCAATTCACTGACTTTATTCAAATAATCAAAAATTACGAACTTTACAGACTCGCAGAATTTTGGGCGTTAATGTTTATAAGACATCGATGAGATATGCGGCATCAAGTTAGATCAAATCCTCCGCGAGTCTCTCTACTTGACCCATCAGTCGCTACGAGCTACGATATCTGCCCACATACGAGAGATGTCCACGGTGGAGGCAACACCGTTCATCCGCACCATCGAGTGGGACATGATGGACAAGACCAAATTCTTCCCGCTCAGCATGCTGTCCTCGTTCTCGGTCAGGTGTTGCCTGTACCCCCTGACAGTGATCAAGACTCGCCTTCAAGTGCAAAGGCAAAATCACATGTACAATGGTAGCGCAAATTAAAAATTTCTATGTACATCAACACTTTACAGAGGGGAAAAATAACCTTCCCCTCCAATTATTATTATACAATGCATTATACAATGTCTTCTACTCCGCAGGCATGATAGACGCGTGTAAAAAAATTTACAAGGTAGAAGGTGTTTCGGGCCTCTATCGGGGCTTCTGGATAAGCTCCATTCAAATCGTCTCCGGGGTGTTTTACGTATCGACCTACGAGGGGGTGCGTCACTTGCTCAGGCAGGACACATCCCTTGGACGCGTGGACTCAAAGGTCAAAGCGTTGATCGCCGGCGGTGCCGCGAGTTTAGTCGGGCAAACGATAGTCGTTCCCTTTGACGTTCTCAGCCAGCATCTAATGGTCCTCGGGATAAATAACACCAAGCACGGAAGGGTGCATGTAGATAAAGTGAGTGACGAAATTTCTATAAAATTCTCTACATTTTCGACTCACTTGAGACACTAATCCCGGAATGTCTCCTACAGATGGGAATGAATCCGTTAGGCTTGACCCTTGAACCCGGAAAGACTCGCGCGCAAATCTCCGCGGAGATAATAAGATTAATTTATCAGAGGGATGGTTACCGCGGTTTCTACCGAGGGTACATGGCGTCCTTGTGCGCGTATGTACCCAACAGCGCCCTTTGGTGGGGATTGTATACGGTTTATCAAGGTATTGTACTTTGTACTTTGACCATTCAGATTATCTCTCAGACTGTGTGACGTCAGAAACGAGAAAAATTCACAATAAAAATTCTTGGAAAATATATATTTGAGTAGAAATATTTTTTAATAAAACAACATTTGTCAATCAATAAAACAGACTTATAAAATGTACACAAAATGATATTTTCATTTCAAGGAGAAATTAAATCACGTTGAAATATATTTCTATTTTAATATATTTTTCAAGAATTTTTATTGTGTATTTTCTCGCTGAGATAATAATAGTGATAAATAAAAATATGAGCCTTTCAAATAAAAAAAGATTGATAATGCTATTATATTCTCTTCTCCGCAGACGAGCTTATAAGATTACTTCCGAGCTGGTTCTCGCACTTGTGCATACAGGCGATGGCGGGCACGCTCGGGGGTTTCACGACCACGATAATCACGAATCCCCTGGACATCGTGCGGGCGAGATTGCAGGTGCAACGACTGGACAGTATGCTCAGTGCGTTTAGGATACTGTGGATCGAGGAAGGACTACACATGTTTACCAAAGGCCTCTCCGCGAGGCTCGTACAATCCGCTTGCTTTAGCTTCTCGATTATCCTAGGTTACGAAACTATCAAGAGAGTGAGCATAACCGAAGAGTACAAGAGTTACATTCGGTGGTGAGCTGCACAGATCGCTATTACGATTAATTTTTACGCGGAACGGAATCGCGCACGGGTTCCGTCCGCGACTTTTTATACGACTGCGACGCGCCTTTCAATATGTGCGCGTGTGCGTGTCACTTTTTACACATCAAGGGAAAGACCGTTACAATTTAATCGACACACTAGCGAGGGTGAGGAAAAATTCTGTAGCTTCTTCAGTTCTTCTACAAAAAGTTACCTAAGTTAATTTTCTTCGGCTATGGAAGTGCTAAGTTATGTTAGATTTTTTTTAGCGTAATGGAAGCTATTCTTTCGTTATATGAACAAAAAAAAGAGTAATATAATTGAATAATTGTATCATCCGTCATCCGTTTCGCGTCATTGCCGTAACTCGCGCACCGCACACTCCGAAAAGACACATGCGTTAGTAACTATAAAGATGATAACTATACAAGTTTTATATGTAGAATTAATGTACATAGCTGAATAAATTTGTATATAGTTAAATAAACTATCTTATAGTTGCAATAACTATAAAATAATTAATTTGACTATATGGCGAGAAAAATTAATTCTATTATAAAACATTATAAAACTTGTACAGTTGTTACGTTAGCAATTGCCATCATTATGTCCTTTTCGAGGATAATTTGTTACGTCACTCAATCACGTAGAGAGGAAACTTTACATATACTTCGATGTACATAAAACAATAGTGAAAAATGACGGCAACTAGGCGAGTATTTGTAAATGTAATAATAAAAGCGCATTTTTTGTACGCTAGCATCACGTGTCAGATGGAGTACAAACTTCGTAACATGTGTTAGATATGTTACTGTGATACAAACTGCGTTCTACTCGCACTTTAGGAAGACGGCCGGTATCTTAGACGCGCGCGCGTCCGTTTACAAGTGTTACGATATAGATGATCCTAGTCAGACATGGGCATGCAACGTGCGTGTAACGTGTATCGGCCGCCTTGAAAGTACGGATAGAACGTAATACCTGAATCGAGCGGATTATACTGGTTCGCTGAAATATCGGTAGAGAGGATATGCCGCAAAGATGTAAGGAATAATGACTGTTTAATATTTCCACCTACATTATACACTGTATATACAGCAAAATTGTGAGAATCCCCCTCCGAGAACTCCTTGTGAGAACGTTAATAAATTTTATTGGCTATATTAAATCGTGCGTGACTGCTCGTTTCCTGCCTCAAGACGGACCCGACCGGCTTGTACCTCTAATTGTAAGCATAATAACCCGCGTGTGTAGACAGCCTTGATTATTACCCACGGAAGACTGAAACTCGCTTTCTCGGTCGCGGGCGTGAAGCAAATTAGCGTATCGCGCTACGAAAATTAATTCGCCCGACATGCAAATCGGGAAGGGATCGAGATTGAGCGGAGCGTACAGGTAGAACAAAGACTGGCGGCGGCGCGGCGCGGCGCGTTCAAGTTCCTACGGACGTGAGCGGATGCATCGATTGGCATGCATCGCGGGAGATCGATCTGACATCTCCCTCAACTCCGACTAGACGCCAGATCGACGTTGCTGATTTTCTATATGCCGGCTCTCACATAACAGAGATACATGAATTATTCCAGGGCCGAAGTAACACGCCCGTCGTGCGATTAATCGAATCCAAGCGAAGCAGGTCTTCGTTTACCAACTGGGTAGGCGATGGATGCGAAACTCGTAATTGCATAATCGCTATCGTGTGACCTATGAAATATCGGAAATAAAATACTGGCCGCACCGGAAACCGATCTCTTGTTGCGATTCCTGCCCGTTTAATTGCTATTGATTGTTATATATATATATATATATATATATATATATATATATATATATATATGGCGATCAGAGCAAATTAATCGGAGATAATAAAAATATTAATAATTATCGCTTGCAGTTCAAATGTAAACGATTTATCATTTTCATCAGTTATATTTACATTTTTAGCGCGCGGTGAATCGCATGTATTTTAAATCGGTGCGTACACGCACGAGCACGTGGCTCTGGAATGATACATTTTTATCTGCAAAGTCGTATAGCCATCTGCCGCTGCATTAACGCATTTAATGCAACTTTGTGCGGCTCGCGTTTTCCTTATCTATAGAGCGAACTTATCACCCAATTTTCCACGCGCGGAGTAGTTTGTTTTCTTACACCGATAAATCCTCGGTATATCGCACTCTCATCGCTAGACGCCCGTGTACAATTTATTAAATTAAGTGTGAATGCGCATTTTAAACTTTTTCCACTCCCTGAAAAGATTATATTTTCCGTTGTCGCTATATAAATCTGGGCCGCACACATGGTGCGTAATTGAATATGAACAGCGCATGCCGACCGTAAGCCTGCACTATTACAGCCGAGTAAACGTCAAACGGAGAAACCGTGCGCGTTCGCCGCACGGTTTCCTATTTCCAGCGAGATCAAACATTTCGTGGATCGGGCGCAAAGCGCGGCGAAAGGGAGGGGAAGGGGGAAAGAGAATATTATTCGGAGAACGATGTACACACCAAACGAACGTCTCTCCTTCGTTCTTTGAGGAATCGTCGGTAGCGCGTCGAGGCGAGTCTAAAAAGGGGATCGGCCGCGCAACGGATCTTTTTCATCCCCCGCGAGGACATTAAAGCGAGAATCTTTCTTTTCGTCTACACGATTTCTAAATGCCACCCGTTGGTCAGAGGCTGGAGGGAGGGAGAAGAAGGCTCCCCCTCGTCTCGCGCTTTATGCCATCGTAAAAAACTCTCGGGCGAATATTCGGCAATTTTTCTCGAGGGAGGATATACGCGCGGCGAAAATATCTCCCACTTCGCGCTTGAATTTAAGTAACACGAGGAGAATAAGATTGCTTCGCGCGTTTCGCACGGCTTATAACTCTCGCGCTTCTTTGTGGGGCGAAAAGAAGAAAAGGAAGCAACTCGAAGAGGGGACTCGTGACTAAAGGAATTTGGAGGCGAAAGAGGGAGAGAGAGAAAGACGGGGACCAGTTGTTCCGTCCAAGTCGTTAAACCGAAATTTTCAAAGGTACGCGTTCAGGAAGGAGGAAAATACGAAACGCGCACACGCGCTCTCTCTCATTAGTGACGTTCGTCAGTCATCTCTCCTGGTACACCCGAGAAGCCTCTTTTCCCGGCTTCTCCTCCTTGCTTCATTTTCTAAGGACTATTCTCGCTTCCCTCATTATGTTCCGTTCGCCACGGGCAAAACGAGCACGATGATACGTGGAAGAGAATAGCTCGCGCGCGGGGAACGACGACCTTACGCGCTGAAATGTCGCTACGGCATAATGTACTTAAAGTGTTCGTATATTATTAGTCTTCTAGCTTCTACTTAAATAGTTTTACGCGTGAAAAAAGATTAACAAAATTCAACAGGGTGGCATCTTAAATCGAGATATATTGCTGAAGTCTAAATAACTTTAACACATGACTTTGATCATAACTATAAAGCACTCACAAAATTGATGTAAACGTTTTACGACTAACAAAAAATAAATTAAAAAACAATTTTGTCAAAAAGTCAAATTAAATTTCTAATCACAATTTCTAATTCACTTTTAATATTCCGTTTAATATCCTTCTTTTGGCTTTTACTGTGTTTTCCGAGAAAATGCAATAAATTGAGTGCTTTATACACGGAGAGAATTTCCTTTTAAAATTTACCCTGAAAATCATATTAATCGTAGGACAACATAGTATTTCGATAAATTTTATATGATTTTTCTCTGTGTTTTACTGTGCACTATAATAAATTTGTTGTAGTATATATTTTAAAAAAATAGTGAAAATTACATAAAATTCGAAATACTATATTGTTCTACGATTAACATGATTTTCAAGGTAAATTTTAAAATAAAATTCTATCCGTGTACTTATATGGCCAAGATTAAATTGCATATAAAAATTTGTATTACAAAATATCGTCCAGAAAAATTATCCAAAATATAATTCTGTATCTAGAGAAGATGCTGCTTCGAGGGGCCGAAGAGTATCTCTTGTGCTAGACAAGGGTGACGCGAAATGATCAGCACGTGGAAATGGATGGCAAAATCCTTCGCGCAGTCTCTCTCTTTCCTGGAACTAAATTCTTCTAAATTCAAACACAAGAAGGGCAGACGACGGGCAAGGTCCTCCACGGCCGCGCATCGTCTAGCAGGCCGGGTTGCGCGACATTAACGTCGCTTCCTTTTTCCGAGTAGCGAAGGGGTTCTCGCTCGAAGAAAAAGTACGCTCGTTATAAAGAACTGCGGCGCGTCGAGAAACGACGCGGCCAGAAAACAAGAAGTAGGATGCGCTTTCCCGACCTTTAAACACAAACGTAAATGTCCCGTTTGAATCTGATTCGAATCTAAATCGAGAGGATACTTTTTAAAAAAATAATTCTATTTTCGAGGATTGAGCTAATAATCCAAATTTATTTTCCCTCCCGCTCAAATTTTCGGGTGTAAAATAATTATCACGTGGATCTAAACTCGGAATTAATTAAAAATATCCAAAAAATATGCATGAAACTCTCATCGAAAACAGCTCAAGATCTGCATTTCAATCGGCGTTTCAAACTAAACGGCGTTCGATAATACGTTACTTAATATAACGATACTTGATATAGCGTATATTACATAATGAGCTTTTTTACCTCGCAGGCTAATGTTATTTTTAACGCCCGCTTAAAATGTCGCGTGCACGAAACATGCTCGGGCATCCACGGACGCACGATACGCGCGACACGCACGCATGCCTACATGTACGTACTGCCGAGGAACGCAACCGACGGGTATACGTTCTAAATCCGCGTACCGTGTAAATCATCGCACTCACGCACATATGTATGCGTGCGTGCGTGCGTGCGTGCGTGCATACGCCGCGCTCACGTGCCACGACCGGCTGCGCTTAGGCGCACGAGAGCGCTCCTCGACCTGGACTTTTAATCGTTCTCCACACACGGGTTTTTCTCGCCGCGTGAGCGACGCGTATATATACCCGCGGCGATGCCGTTTCTCCACGGCAATATCGCGGCGCGCATCTGCATGGGTTAAGAATGCCGGTAAAAAGAAGAGCCAGCGCTCATTACCAGCGTTGTTATTATTGTCATTATCGCGGCCGTTATTGTCATCGCCACTGACAACCATTAATCATTCATTCATCGCTCAATCATTAATCAAATGCTCAATTGTTTAAGAGAATATTGAAGGTGAAGGATCTTGAATGTTAAAACGTTCAGCGAAAAAAAAAAAAATCTTTGAGAACAGGCTCGACTGCGAAGCGCGAGAGAGAAGCGGCCGTTAAGGTCGCGCGGCTTTACGTATTTTGCAATTGTAAGTACCACCTCGCGTACACAACGCAATAATGCTGCATTCTCGCTTCGCGGACCTCGTGACGGACGATCCTCTCGCGCGCTCGCCGGCGTACCTACGGCCCCGAGGCGTGTATAACGTGTTCGCCCGCGATGCGAAGCGAGGCAGAGCGAAGGGATTAACTACGGGTAAAGAGATACGCACGACGCGTTACGGCGATCTTCCGACAAGCGGGCACTGCACGGAGGAGAAAAGCTCGCGCGAGCCGGCGGAGTCTCGGGAGGAATAAAAATTGAAAACGCGCGAGGTAGCGGACGAGGAGGCGTGTAGCCGCGGAGGCGCGTGGCCGCGGGCACGCACGTGCGTGAGGCACGATGATTTACGCGGACGCGAATTTAGACCGGTAGTGCAACCCCCTTTTGCGCTCGGCGCTGAGACGATGCTCGAACGAAACGAAGCGAGCGGATTAGCCGCGCGCGTCTCGCGGCTTATAGCGAGTAGGCTATAACGCGCGCACTATACTTACACGCGCGAACGCTCTCGTTGCCTCTTGAAACACACGGCGCGGTGGCGAGTGCGCGATGCGAGCTGCAGATACCTGAGCCGAAGTAAACCGCGTGTTAAAATTACTCTGATACGTTACCGAGAGCGCGCCGGGGAGCGCGAGTGCTTTCGCGAAGACGGAATTGCCTTATAAATCCAGTTGGCGTGAAGTCGAAGTTAATTCACCGCGGTTTTCTTTGCAAAAGCGAAGAAGCGGCGTTTTACATCTTTATTCCGCTCCCCCCGGTTAACCCTGCATTACTAGTGGGATTGTTTTTTTAACGCAATTGCTGGCGCGAAGGAGTTTCCGACGCTCCAATATTATATCTCAATTTTCACTGTTCACTTTGATGATTTACAATTAAATAAAGATTGATAATATTCGAAATATCTTTTAGATTAATATAAATGTACAATTGCTCCATTTCTACGTTTGCACAATAATTTTTAATTAGAAAACAATTTTCGCTAAATATAATAATGTGTGTAGCATTTATATATTTAGCGAATATATTAGGCTGGGGTGTCCTGGACACCCCACGCGAGTAATGAAGAGTTAAGCGCGCCGAGAACGCTCGTACGAAAAGGAGCAGCATGGTGATTTAAACGAACGGTAAGGACCGAGACGAGCAGTTTACACCAAACGAAGAGACTTAAATCCGGCGCACAAAGCAACGAGGCACAGTTCCACGCAAAGATCGTGTCGCTTCTCTTGTGAATTTCGCGAAATTGTTCGACAACGCCGATCTTCTCCTCCGCTCTCGTACTCAAAGGACGACAACGGCGAGGTGGAGAGAGAAAATAGTCGAGATAGAATGGAATGGAATTCGAGAGGAGCCGAAAGCGCGCATCTCTCTGCCGTTCGCAGGAGAAATATGACCGGGTAAAGACGCGGGCGGTGCGCTCTTTGACGTAAAACGGCTACTAAATCTAGGAGGGTGTAAATTCTGAAGTCTTTAGATTCGATTTTCTTTCAGTATCTCAAAAATGTTAATTTTTTTAGATGTGTCATTTGTCTAATATCAACGCGGCGAAATGGACGATATCTTCGATATTGTCGCAAAACGAGAAACACGGGAAAAGGAGAGAAGATCCTATCGGCGTGAGGATAGAACTCGGCATGGGATTGCTTCTCCTGACAAGATCCTGACGCTAGAATCACTAGATCCGGTGATTACACTGCGAGGGACACGGTAGCGCCCGGAAAGAGGGCCGAGGGGCTACGCAATTACGCGGCGGGGCAGAATTTTCATGTTACGATAACATTTTTATGTTACGACAAACCGCCCGTGCTTACCGGGGGGAACCCTTTATTACGGCTATTAGCTTTAATGCTACGAAGCGATGCACGTTCAAGCACGTCCCGCGGGGCACATGCCTCTCCGGTTATCACGCCGGACTTCGTGGCCGTTAAGCAAAAAGCTCCGCATCGTCTAATACGACGACGAGTCCTCTCGATCAGAAAGATAATGAAATTAACTTTTATTAACGTAACATGTCTCGTTAAGAGGGACTGGTGCAGCGACACAAGAATCTGCCCGTCATTAGAGAAGATCCTGATCCTTCTCGCGCCGCCGTTTAGATAGATAGACAGATACGGCCCTCTTCTTGTGATCCCGGACAGGCCGCCATCAAATAAAAAGATTGACGCAATTTATAAGAATTTTTAAGTAAATATAATGTGACAAACAAATAAATGTCACCAATTAAGTCCAATTAAATATTTATAAACCATATCAATCCTTCCTATTTTTCTTTTATACGACAAATAATTTCTAATGTAAAGTTTAACATGTAGTTTGCGACATATCACAGTGAAGTTAATATATTTCTAATATATATGTAATCGATTATCCGAAAGTTTTAATGTGGGGACCCAAGTAATCGTAGTACGATGATCTCGTTTCTGCATCTGGAAAAATGCGCGTGAATCCCGATGCACTTTAACGAGTAAAATCTGCGACAGACAGCGACAGCTGCAAAAGGAAAACTGTACTCCCTTTATATTAAACCTCCGCGAACGCGGACAACAGACGCATCGCGCTAATAATGCTCGCGCGCGTCCCGGTGTGTATTTCACGTCTCGCGGCTCGCTATGATACCGCAAATAGAACCGCCGGAGGAGACGTCCAACTGTCTGGTGCACTCGCAAAAATAGGATTGTGTCGCCGTGTATCACGCACGTTACGCGACGAAGTCGCGGGGAATCGGGGTTACGGAGACGAAAGAGCCGAGACTCGCGCGCGCGCGCGCGGGTCTCATCGAGTGAATATAGAAAAAAACCACCGTTATTTTTCAATTAACGTCCATCAATCGGCGAATATAAATATCTCCGCGCGTGGTTCGCAAACGAGTTTCACCTGTCAGCCGGTTTTAACTTCCGCCACACACACGAGCACACACGCGCACGTTAATCCTGCAGGAGGATTCTTTCGCAAACTACTTCGTCTTTATCCCTAATGAATGATTGCGGCAATTATTATAATAAAGCCGTGCCAACCAATTACAGGCTGCAATCGCGTGCGTGAGCAACTGTTTGTAGTATCTGTAATGTAATGCGGGTACAGCAATTAAAAATCAGTGTATTTAATGTAAGTCGCGCGTACAATTTTTTACTTTATATTTCATGTATTAATAACTCAATTAATCATTAAATTATTATATTCCGAAAGATTGTGCTTTCTTAATTGCATAAGTATCAAGCGGGCTCCCAATATCCCGTTATTTTATCTTTCTTTTAGTTCTGAAAATCTTATTTAACTTTTGTTTTATTCGTTAAATGTATTTACATCAAGGAAATCATTTTGCCGTGGTTGGCACCCCATTATCGATACCATAATGGGTTTATCGCTAAAACAGCATCGATAATGGTAATCGATCAAGAAGAGCCGGTGTTGATGGAAAATTCCAGAGTTTAAAGAGGAAATTTCCCAATCCGATATAAGAGAAAAATATCCAATATAAACTCCCGAAATAAAAGTAGTGTAAACGTGGGGAAATTATCGATCAGCATCGCGCTTAATTAAATCGTTCGATTTAATGACGTCAAGCCGAAAGAGCCTGTTCGTTAGCGGATCAATTTTAGCAATCGCCGGAAATTGAACGAACGGCTCATTTAAATGCCGTGGTCCAAAACTTTTCGACGGATCCGATTAAACTGCTGATTATTTTATCGCGACCGGTATCTTTCGGTAATTGTCGAATGTGTCGACCGCGATATATAATATTCGTTTCAATTTTATCTGAATATTTTATATCTTATGAAAAAGGGGAATACATAAGTAATCACAGTTTTTGTCGTTTCTCTTTTCTATCTCTTTAATCCTCTGAGTTCGTTATTCCAGTTGATGAGGCATGAAAAAGACTTCCGACTTTAACTGAAATGCATAATTATTTTACTTTAAAAAAAAATCAACTCTTATCTTTTTCGCAAAAAAGGATTAACGCAGGCGCCAGAGTCGTCGCGAGCTTGTTTATTAATCTTGACACATCCGATTAATTTTATCTGCTAAGATAATGTAAATAAGTCACAGCAAGTATCAATAATGGTTAAATTTACGACGATATATCGACTTTTTTCGATACAATAATGTAGCTCGTTGTAACGAGAAAACGTGATCGGCGACAAGACCGCGACATTTACGATGATTCAGTTCGCTTTGAGAATCTTATGATCACGGCGAGTAGGCGGGAACACGGCCATTAATGAATTTAGTCCTTTTTCACTGTGCGAGAGGCATACATAAATAATGCGGCCGCGTGCGAGCGATCGCTCTCGATAAAACGAAAGTGAAGAGATCCAACGGGATCCCGGGCACGACGGTCACTCGACTCCGAGAGCAGGTTTATTCACTCGTCCTTCCCTGTTCTTCTGCCCCGAACCCGCGTGTTGTCCATGTAAAAATATCTCGCGTTACCGCAAGAACGGGTTCGTGACGCTTCTGTTCAATTATTGGAAACGAAAAGCGTCCACCGGACGGACGCTTCAATGAAGATATCAAGGCATCAATGATCTTCAAATTATTTTAATTGAGCACTTAGAAAAAAATACAAGGTATTTAAATAATACTACAAAATCCGAACATGTATTTCCGGAAGCATTCCGGACTACACGACCGTGCTTATCTTAATTTAACTCTGATGCGCGGCGAATCGTCTTCGTTACGCGGCAACGAGCTCCAATTGAAATGTCCAGTTAATAAAATGCAATTAAATATAAGTACAGCCGTATGAAGATTCCGACAATGAGACCGAGGGCAGGGGGAGCAGAGATGAATGTAAAAATAGAAAACGGTTGTCGCAATTGAAAGGTTTATTCCTGACTTGCGATTGACACGGAGTCGAAAGTCACGCGAGCTCCTCGATCTCCTCGAGCCTCCACTGCTCGAAATCCTCTTGCACGTCAAAGTGACTGTTCGATCCTCGCGGATCGACGTCCCCGGTGACGTCGTTATCGGGAATCAAACGAACCACGAAGTTGTTTCTCCAGTAGCGTCTCCATCGATGACCGTGCAGTCTTTAATACGAAGAGAAGATACATACAATGATATCGGTTGATATGAATACGATTTTTTTTCCCCGATCTCTACGACGCGACAAACAACGCGAACCTTCAATTGAGGGGTTTGCTGCAACAGTGGACTAATTCACACATTTTGCAAAAGCGGAGAAAATAAATTCGAAAATTAAAGTGATAAGAATACACATTAATTTCTATTAATTTCACAGATTTGGCTACGTTGTGGATTAATCCACTGATGCAGCGAGCTCTTCAATTACTTTTTTTTCCGTAATAATGAGAGACACGCGACATCCAGCTCTCCAGTTTTTTTTACAATTAAACAATCGCGCCTATATAGGTAATATCTTAATTAACTCATTTTCCGTTAACGACTGTTTTTATCCGCGCACGAGCGCGAGCTGATTTCAAGTTTTATACAGCGTACCTGCCTAACGTAATTATCCATCGCCAATAAGCTATCAGAGTCAATAAGCAGGTTGGTAGCATGGCGACTATCATCCAGGGTATCTCGTAAAAGCCATTTCGCAGCAACATTTTCAAGGCCAGGGCGCAAACGTAGCAGGAGAACGCGGCCACGGGCGTGGTCATCACTAAATACCCGATGTCGAGTACCATCTCCTCCGCGAAAGGGAACGTATTAAGTATGTATTAAGAGATAATTAATGGTAATTAAAAAGTCTAATTATACGCGGAGAACGACGACGTCCAGGCGATATCCCATTAGACGCTGTACCAACTTGTAAGATAATTTCAATTTTACATGACGTCGTTCCAGGCGATAATAAGCCATGTAGACTCAATGTTTTACAGCTGATAATATTCCTCGTTTTCAAAAATGCTTAATGCAGTACATTTTGTATGTTAATGAAACGCGTGCCGTTCGAGGACTTCAATTAAAGAGGCCTCGGGGATGAAATCTCCGGCGCTTTCGGATGAAATAAAAGCGGACGGAAAAGCGAGTTAACGAGTCTCTCTCTCTCACCTGTCGGGTGGCTATTACGGTGCGGAACCATATTACGACGCTGCGAAAGAGGCTGTAACGCCGTACCCTCCTGATCGCGTACTTGTAGCCGCAGAGCTCGCATCTCGCGCGGCCGGACTCGGTTAGCCATCTCTCAAGGCACTCGGCGTGGACCAGAGCCACCGTACCCCGGCATCTGTCGCGCCATTAAACGCTATATAAGGACAGCCTCTCTTAAAACTAAGCTGGTCTCTTATCGCGCGATTTCTATATATCATCCACCGCGATAATCCGCCGATTTACATGTCGACTCGTATGTCGTTCGAAACGATATCCCTATATGATATCGTATCTCGTTTCGATCGGTTTTTTTTTCTTACGTACACAGTAAGACTGTCGCACGTAAAAAAAAAAATAAATGTTAGCCGTAATCGTAAACCCGTAAGCGTATCGACCAATCACAGAGTCGAGCAAAATAAGACCGCAATTTTGATTGTGATTGGTCGATTTGCTTACGGCCTTACGGTTACGACCCAAAACTTTTTTTTACGTGTGCTGGTCTTTTAATTCCCAGGCTTATATTTAATTCGACACCGTGTCGACTTAAAAAGATTAATGTCTTAACCTTTTTTCAAGTGGAAAGTAATTGGCTTATATGTATAATTGGAAATCAGGAATCTATTATTAACGTTTTAAACATTTATTAATTTGTTCGCCGCGTTTTTATCTTTGCCTTCTCGAGTGAAACGAAAACTTACTTGCAAGCTGAAATCAACGGGCCAAGATAGACAAAGTTCGACAATGTCGCTGTCTGATTGTTCTGATCTTGCGAGTCGCACGACGGATAATTGTCCGCGATCGGGGCGTATCCGCCCATGTGGCAGATTCGACAAATATCCCCAGAGGCAATACACGCGTCTGTGATAATTATTTCAATTATCTGTATATCATTTACTTCAAAATCATTTTACGGGCATACATGCTTAATGACCATTAATGTTCCAATGATGAATTATAACGTAATTATTTCCTCTGATGAAGAACATTAAATTTCTTTTGAAGACGTACCATTTTTATCTTGTGATTTAGCATCGGCACATTTCTCGTCATTTTCCTCCGTTTCTGGATCGCATTTTGCGTTATCCAATAATCGGCTCGCTATTTGAATCTCTTCATTGACTGAATTTTCCGGGTTTACTTGCGCGACGGATTTATCGCGTTCGTTTGCTACTAATGAATGTGCAACGTACGTAAAATTTTACACATGTACCTTTAATAAGTTTTTAATTATATATATATCTAATCTATTTTGAAAGAGTTACGAGTTGGAAAATATTTAATTTGGCACAGAAAATTTTCTTTATTAACTAAATAAAATTTAAATCACGTATGTTAATCTAATGTGTATTAACATTAATCTAATATATATTAACCTTGCGCAAAATATAAACACGTTTAACGAAAAAATTTGACGCTAACCTATCTCATTCGTATGTCCGCTGCCATTTTTAGGCTCTGCGTCCTCGATGTGTGACATCAAAGGTGTTTTGCGCGCATTTTGGTGTACGCGCTTCCGGAACAAATCTAAAATTTTCCTTTAGGACTTTTCAGCAGCATGCCGCGATCGGCAGACGCGCTCATTTGTGTCTGTCACGTTATCGGATCATACAACGCGATCGACTTTTTCTTAAACAATCGATTAATTAGCTCAGAAACTTCATCTGTGCGATCTCGAAATTGTAAAAACTGATGGATACTTCTTATGAAGAACCATTTTTAATTTAAGAATACAAATTAAATTCGTTTAAATTCAGCTGTGTGACAGATGCAAATGAGTAGGGACTAAAGTCAACAATGTTTTTCTCATTTTGCCTCACTGCGAGTTTGTAAGTCGCCGTAATTTTAAGCACGCGGAAGTTGCGCGGCAATGACGCGAGTGTGACGATGAAATTTCACGGTGTCCAGCTCCATTGAAAACGACTCGCGGGCAACTGCTATACGGGAAGACAAGACGCTTCGCATTGTTATCGGCTGTTCTTATCGTCTCGCGCTTCTCGCACCGACGAGACGAGGCTTATCTCAACTCACGCCACTCACACACGGGATTAAGCGTTCTCGGACACTCGCCGCATGTCCATTTTTCACGTTAATTATTTTTTTCGTAGCCGATGCCCGCGCGATAGTTCAGCAAGCACGGCGCAAGCTTGGCTCTAACGAGGGAGAGACCTCATCAGGCAATTAAACTCTCGCATGTAACGATGTAGCAAATCGACGTGATTTGTTTCGATAAAATCTCTCGAGCGGCGGCGGCGGCAGCAGCCGCCAGTTCGCTACCTTGTGGTGCATTATTTGCCTCGGCAGGAAATTAGGCTACTAATTGCGTATCGGCCAATATAGGCGCAGCGTTAAACTAGAAATTGCGGATTCATCCCGCGTTCCTCTTTCGACGATGTGCACCGCGAAGTTGTGGTATCATGACGGCATTAACTCGCCGCACAGTCACTTTAATTGCAGGTATACGCCGTACAGCGAACGTCAATTACATCGAGATTGTATTAAATTGAAATCAGTTTAACATTCATGAAATCTCGCGAAGGGAGACGAGGAGGGATCGTTAAGATTTATCGATAGCAAAGCCGGGCTTCTCTTCGTCCCGGGCTCGCGCTGGAAATCTTTCTCCGCGTGCAGGCTAACGAGAGAAGCCACGCCGGAAATGCGTCTGTCCGCGATTGCGCGTATAATCCCACGGGAAGCCCACGGATCAGTCAACATCCCAACTCGTTGGGCACCGCACGAAACCGATCCCGTTTGTTTTTGGCATCGGACACGTTTCTCGTGGGCGGGAGATTTCTCGACGCCGACCGTTCCACCTCCGGTCCGAGAGTGGACCGCCCGAATTATTCTTTTAACCGCTTCCGCGGTCTCTCGCACGGGGGATATTTCGGAATCGGTTTCCGGCACCGCGAAATACAAGTTCGCGGCCTGTATGTGGACACGAGACTAGGATACGGGGACTAGGAGAGTTATTATTAGCGGCGAGTCTCTCTCTCTCTCTCTCTCTCTCTCGGCCCACCGCTTTTCGGAAACGCGCGCGCCTACGGATATCCGTTGACCTGGCGAATTAAGAGAGCGGAGATCTCCCGCGCTCTCTATAATCCACCTGGCAAGCTCGCGCAAAAAAATCTGCGGCGAGAAAACGAGATCAGGCCTCATCGTCGAGGAAACCCGATGAAATGAATAATTTATTTTAAATATATCTCTGTTGAGAAATGATTTCAGTAATTCGAAGCAAGACTTATCGTAACAAATATCGAGAGATGAAATGAATAAGCAGTCGCACATCTTCCGCGTGCTTAACTCTGCTATTCTGTTCGGATCTGTTTGACACACAATTGAAAGTAAACATAGGTAATTTTTTTACTAATATTTAAAAACTTTTTCTCATTTGATAAGACTTCGTATGTTAATATAAGATTTCTGTGAAAATTTTTTATTTTTTGGAGCTTTTTAATCATATTGACCCAAATGATATGATTATATAATAATATATAATAAATTTGAACAGAATATTAGGGTTAATTACTGCGACTTATAAACTTAAATGTAATTGATAAATTTTTTCTTTAATGTGCTATCAAGACTTATTATAATACAGCCGAATTTCATCCTGAGAGAGATGTACATTAAGCTACTAAGACTGATTAGAAAATCTAGCGAATCGATTGAATCGGAATGATCTCCGCGCTTCTCAAGAAAGTCGAAAGCGTCGGTGACGAGACAGCGCCCGACAGGTGCCAAGTCTATCCCGTTTTATTTCTCCGTTGCTCTCGTTTTGCTCCTCTCTCTCTCTCTCTCTCCAATCGTCATTCAATCGCTTCATTTCTCTCACGCTCGTACAACACTCGGAGGAAATGTCAAGTCGGCGGAGCCGTTTCCATGGCTGCTATTTCTGCCAGGTGGCCGATGCCCGAGCCTAACCGACCGTCCGTCCGCCATTTTCCCACTCGACGTTTTTGGTTCAAGATTAATTAAATGCGTCTGGAAATAGTTACGGTCGTCGAAGCCGCGAACAGACCGCGGAAGCGAAGGGCGCGGACCAAGGGGGGGCTTACGCCAGTGGTGGACTCCACGCACGGTTGGATATCCGCAGCGCGCGATGTTAATCTTCGCACGCACCTCTCCTGCCAGGAGCAACGACGGGAGCAAATAGGTATACTTAGGTCGCGATCGAGACCCGGCGAGAGATAACTCTTGGCGAACTTTTATTGTAACGTTACCACGGTACTTTAACACCGTTTATCGTTTTTGTTTGCGATCTCTGCGAACTGGAATCTAATTGCATAAGAAGACGATATTAAACTGTCGGAAATTTATGATAGAAGTATCACCGTTATGGGAGATAGAAGAGGATAAAACTTAAATTTTTAATGTGACGAATAAGCAAGTGAGATCTATCTTATAAGTATTTCAATTTGGTATCATTCTAGACGTCGATTCAGTCTAATGTCAATGTTTTTTTCCGTCAGACGTATTTCGAGGTCGCAACAGCGGCTTGAAGGTATAGGCGAGTGTTGCAGAATGAAAGTGACCAGGGGCTTCTAGACGAGCCGAGGATGAACCAAGGCTCTGGGATGCTGGGTCATGTTCAAAACTGAATGAACCTGGAGGCTCATTCATAATCGATACACTTGCGTGATTTCAACCTGGCTGACGGTGCCAACGAAAATTCATTGAGCTACATGATATTCCAGAAACCTTCACCTCCCCGAACGAGGTTGTCAATTCGTTTTCGCGGATAGGGCATTGCGCCGTCTCGTAGTACGGACTCACTTGTATTTTCTGCGAGGAAAACAGAAACTTTGTACATAGCCTTGACCAAGTGTAGAGCATCCTTATAAATTGACCTAAACGTTCTATATCTATTGAAAAATAAATTAAAAATAATTTTATTGAAAAATATTTATTTTCATAATGATTTTAATACTTATAACTATTTTATTTTATTTAACAAATTTAATATGAACGTTCTAGATCTAACGAAACATTAATTAATAAATTCGCTGTTCATCTGAAAGAATGGACACCCCACCTCTCAAAGCCAAAAATTATTATAATAAACAATAAATTCATCACGCGCTGGTGCGTGACCGACTATTTGCGAAGAAGTCTTATCACGCGTTGGCGTGTGATAGGCAGTGAACGTATTGAAAAACAGTTTTATTGAAAAGTATATTTATTTTTACAATAATTTTAATATTTTATTAGTCCTTCGGCTTTTATTAGCCTTTTCCAAGAAACTACAAATTGAGGATGCTTTATACTTATGGCCAAGGCCGCACTCTTCTTGCGCGCATATATACGTACATATACATTACGTACTGAATTTTTGATTCCGAAAATCCTCGTGCGCGCATTTGTGTGAGTCTTTTTAAGCTCGAGGTCGATCGGGCGCGAACGCTAAGACATCGATGATATTTACGAATGCAGAAGCGGCGTTCTTAACGACGCACGTGTTCCGAAGGGAGAGCGGTTAGGGCCCACAAACCGCAGCTAAAGATAGCAAGCCGAAGGGGTCACTTCGTGATTACTTCTCCCTTCTGCTTCTCCCTCCCAACCCTGGCCTTCTTCGTTTTCTCGCCCTCTCTCTTTCTTACAAGATCGCAATTTATAGAAGCACTCGGCACCTGTCACCTTTCCGCGAGGCTCACCGAGGACGCGCGCATTTCTGCCCCCATCTCATGGCACCGGCCACAGGAATAGCCGGCGAAATAGCCCCGCGTCGTGCCCCGCGCGACGGAGAAGAAACAGCGACGAAGGAGCAGAAAAGGAGAATACTTTGAGACATTTCGCCGCATCGCGCCCGCAGTTTCAAAACAACGTGCGTGCGTTTGAAGCGACGGAATGTCTTCCAGAGAAACTGGAGGAAGAAGCTCCATCTTCCACCAACCGTGTTATTTCGGGGAGGTATATCACCGAGGATTTTGCCACGAGACACGAAGACGCGAGAATTTCTCCGTCCCCTGATTGTTTCTCCTAATTTGAAGTTTGTTCAAAGGTAGCCTGTTTAAGCACGATTTCAAAGAGGTCCAAAATTAAATGCATTTATCACATGTTAAGCTCGTATCAGACTACATTGGAGATTATAATTCAACCAATTAAAATTAAATGGATTAGAATTAAAATTATCCAACTGCAAATCAAATTTTAATCTTCAATTCGTAAGTTGTCAATCTCTAATGCATAGCCTGACGCGAGCTTAAACGCTGTACGACGACGCGCGTGCGACACCCAGTTCCTGATTACACGACAACACTCGTTAGTACACGGAACGGCGAGCGCGACGTTAACAGGAAACGCGCATCTGCGTGACCTGCAATGGACGCCGTAACCCTTTAAGTATTAACGGCGGCGCTCGCCCTACGTGATCCTCGTGCTTACAACGCGATTCCGTGCTGCCGATCTTCGCGCAATCTTCCGTTTCGTAATCACCGCGCTTAAGTTAACGCGACGATCGAAGGAAGCGAGAGAGAGAGAGAGAGAAAGACCGCCCGCCGTGCGATCCGACACCGAACCTGCCTGAGGTACGACGAGGGTTATAAAATAGATATATAGTATTTCGGAATTATCGAATTTACAAGTGGACCGTAAATCAATTCCAAAAATGATCCCGCCGTTAAATTAACAAGATGGGAAGTTTGATTTCGACCATTTTGAGTCGTAAAAAAGATGACGTATCTCCCTATCTGTTGAGCGCCGCGCTTTAACGAAATTTATCGTCTCCTTTGTGCTGTGCCGCGACGTGCGCGCTGCAGAGGGAACCGGGACTCGGCCTTGGATCCTTGGATGTGCAGCAGCGTGTGTTGTCGATCGGCGTCGATTGCAGTTGGGAACCGTGCTGAATTATTCGCGAGCCTGGGCGACGCAAGTCTGGCGACGAAATGCCAGAGCCCTTTCGCGCCGTTTACGCGTCGAAGGCAAACACAGACGGCAAAAAGGCGATGTTGCTCGTAAAAAGGGCGACGCGCCGGTTCGTCATCGTTGCGTCTCGAAACACAGTGCCGTTCGTGCGACGAACGTTGCGACGCTGACCGTACGGTTTAATTACGTATGTACCGTGAACTTGGAACGTTTACTTTGGACGTCAGACGACATAAAATTGACTAGATCTAGTTCTCGTACCCCGAAGAAAATTGATAAAAGCCACGGCGGCGCATCGTTCACCATTAATACATGCGATCCTAATCAACGCTCGTTGCTGTCTGATAATGAGAACCGCTGCTCGAATCCCTACGACGACCTGCTGCATGTAGTTTACATTTTAATGCGCGATAATGACCGGCACCGTCGTCCGGCATGCGCCGTCGTTGATTCATGACGGAATAATTATGCTCGTCTGCGTTTCGCGCTCGAGGAAAATTCTCGTGTGTAAAAGTCACGCTAATCTTTACTGACGCATAAATGCGCGAACAAGATTGAATTGCCAAAGCCAGAATACATTGCTTTCAATAGTAACCTGAGATCGAGGATACGTGATTGCGATAGCCAATGTGATGGCATTATGTATAAATTTGCCTATCTATCTAATGAATATATATATATATATATATATATATCCATTAGATAAATTATCGCATAATTTATCCAAAAATGGAACAGCCAGGCCTTATTGAATTTTTAGAGGCAAACTCACATTATTATTTATTATATTGTTTTATATTACCGTGAGGTAAATTTCTACATAATGCCATCACATTGGCAATTGCCATCAATTGGCATATATATATATACATATTAATAAGTATAATAATAGTGACTTTAAAATGGAGTGCAAAAATCGTTTGTGCAATAAAAAACTAGGTGATTATTCCCAGGTTAATAGTTCCCGTCGTTACTATTTCTGTTTCGATTTATGCTCGATTTACTCTAAATCGTTCACTCTCGGCTTATTGCCTGGACTCGTCGGAACTTCGGCTGTTTAACGACGAGGAAGAAATGAATCTTTTATGCATCCCTGCGGACGCATCCGGTTCTTCTAGATTATACGAGAGCGAACCCCTCGTGCATTCGGGGCACGCGGTACCCCTTGTGCAACGCTCCTAGACTCGGAAATAAAAAAAAAGGAGGGGGAGGAAAAGAGGATACCGCCGACGAACAGCGCGTTACGGTGAATCCTTTCCCGCTCTCCCGCGACGAAAAAAGTAATATTTATGCGGCGGATATTTGTCTCGCTGACAGACATGTTTCTCTCACCGGTGAATTTACTATGGGCCTGCGGTCCTTAAATTTCGATGCCACACGGATGATAAACGAGAATTTTCCCGAGAAAATGTTTACCTCCAGGTCGAAGGAATCAATCATTTACAGAGGAGCCATAAATTATGGAAGGGCCGCATTGTAAAATATGTAATTATAATAGTTACACTTGTACGTTATGTGCATAATATATACCTTTCTTTCAGCATTCCATAAGAAACCATAAATCTTTCATCTGATTAATGAAAGTGTCGCATTTAGCTTCTTTTTCAATTAGTATAAACTAAAATTCTACTCAAACAAATTGCTTAAATTTTTTAATGCATTAAATCTCGATGTTTATGTGTTTATGACAATTGATAGCGTTCTAATCCGTATTACATATAGACAATTCTTTAACGAGAATTTTTCGATGTAATAGTGCCAATCGCAATTAAGAGATTTAATTATAAGGTTGATTTAAGAATCCTACAGAGACGGATAGAAGCGTAAATGATTTTGCATTGCAAATGAAACGACCTCGAGATCCGGCTTGGTGCGGTAATTTTATTGCCACGAAAGAAACCAATAAATCTCTCGAATTAAATCGATGCTTATGCATACTCGTCTTCATTTATCCACGATGATTAAAAAGAGGAAAGAAGTAGCAATCGGAGGCAACGCGCGAACAGCGTCGCTAACTGTTTCTTTCCCCTTAGCGAAAAACATCATCTCGCCGCGTAGTTACAAGCTTGGCTTATCGACTAGCACGCTCGTTTACGTGCATTATCTTAAAGCTGTAACAAATTGCGCGTATCGTACAGTCGTAAAACGTACGGAGAACGCGCGGTCGTAACTTTGGCACTTGACTTCCTGATACTTCAATTCCAACTTCATTCACGCCACTATCTTCATTACAACTTCTCGTTATTAAGCAAACGAGATTGTAAGAGTTAACTTTGTTACTACGAGAGTTTTACTCTCGTAGTAATTGACAATGAGAGCAGAGCTCAGTTTTAAACAGCAAATCCTAAATTCGTCAAGACATAAATTTGTTTATCTAGAATATTCAATATCAATGTCGATGCTTTTTCGAGTTTTTCTTAATTTATTACAACTGTCACATGCAGAGAGAGATATAAGATACGCTCGTATTTACTGATAGAATTTATAGACAGTGATAAAGAGTTTTCGCGGTCGTTAAAGCTGTCTGACGACTTAGTAGGCACGAGCCAATAAATTGGGGCCCTCCTCGAATCCCCTCCGCTATCCCCTACGTCGATCTTATAATTAGATCACTAAGCTCGTGTACGCACGACGTAGGAAACGTCGTTAACATAATTACAATGTTGGAAGTTCGCCCCGTCTCGCGTCCACTTCGCTTTACACGCGTGTTACGTTTTATTCGAGCACGAAAGTATCGTTATCACACAAAAACGCGCGATTGGTTTGTTTATAGTAATAACTATAAACATGCACTTCACGCGTTTTGTAATATCGAGCAGACTTGATACAGCTCGACATAATATTCAGTTATCAAATTTTGTCCGTTCCGATACGGTCGTGTAGTTTGTCGGCTCAAACAAACATATCGTAAGTTCATTTTCTTTACTTCTTAAACTCTTCTGATTTTCTGCACGTATAAGTCGCGCTTTCAACATTTTAATTTTTTCATCTTTTCGATTGTATCGCGTTTTTTTACTTTTACACCGTTTTTTTAACTCAATTATTACAGTTTATTATATACAACTTTTATGTAGAAATACCTGTGTAATGGATCTCACGTTTAAATCCATAGTCAAACCATATTATTATCAAAAATTATTATATTGCGCATTGAACAGAATCAAACCGATGGCCGAAATGTTGTATTATCTTATGTACCCATCACACTAGAAAATAAATGGTAATCATTACGCACTAACATCCATGTTAACTTTATTAAACTAATATTTCTTTTTTTTTTTTAATTTAGTTTTGTGCAAGTAATTAAATTTAAGTGAATGAAAAGACTGTTATAAGAATGTAGTACTTTAACGTCCATTTCTATCAATGTGAAAACACTTTAATCTCAGTTTAACTTCTTTATCTACTTCTAATTCAACACTTGTGTAACAGACACTAAAATCAAAGTCATCGGAGCTGCTGTTTCCCCTAATGATAAAGATTTAAAATCTTCTATGCTATCGACCGTCACGACTTCAATCGCGGCAAGGTGTGAAGAGGGCAGGCAAAAATATCTTGGCACGGCTGGATAGTGACGCGGCAAAATCGAATTCTATGAGATAATAACGTATATTAGCAGCGCGTGAACAAGACGAAGATGGAGTCCTGCCAAGAAACACACCTTAATGCATATTATAAGCACGTGTACACGAAGAAGTCGACAGCCAAAAAGCTCGTATCTTCTTTTCTCGCGACGCAATACGGTGCTTCGAGAGAAACATAATATTTGAGTAGGCTGAAGAATATATTCAGTTGGTAGCACGAATTTGAAAGCCGAAACGAACGACGAAAAACTCCAACGGACAGTATAACATATTATACTGCAATTAATTACAAAATTAGATAAATTGGATATACTTTTACCAAATAAAATTTAAGATAAAATGTGACACACGCGAGATAGCGTACTATTAAAATACAGAAGAACATATGATACACTATCAGACAAATGAAAAGCTTAAAACTTAAGCTGTGGGTTATCATCTGCAATAAGCTCAATTCAATTAATTTCCTTTCGACACAAGAAATCGACAAAATAATCGACAACTATGAAAAAACTTCGAAAGTCACTCTATGAAAAGCAAATATTAACTCATATAATCAAATAGTGAATCCATGTAATTTATCACACGTTGCACAAAGACTTATGATAAGACGATAAGACTTATGATAGAACGAGCTACCCAAATTTCGAGAATAACACTTAATAAAGAATGACGCTCAATAATTCTTTTAGATTGAATTATTGAGAAATTTCTCGTCGCACACGTGTTTTCATAGATTTATTAATTTAATTAAACATATGAAAAATGAATGTGTAAATATAAATATCGACCGTTATTAGAATATATACACGGAGAGAATTTTTTTTTAATTTACCCTGCAAATCATGTTAATTATGGGACAATATAGTATTTAGGCAAATTTTACTATGCGCTACAATAGGATTTCGCAGTAAAATTTATTGTAGTGCAC